AACATTCTCCAGCATTTATAGCCACGTGTAGCTCGGTCACCTCGATTCAATCACCATTTATTGTGCCAAGGCAGATTTTGAGTGTCCAAGAAGATGTCAGGAGGTGTATATGTTTCAAAAGCCACCCTGTTTTATTTGTGTAATCCATTCACCATGGTTCTATGAAATCTGAGAGGGGTGTTAAAGCAAACCTTTCCTGAACACACATGGAAACTGCCACTGCCAATCACTTTTTGAAGATGCTTGTGGTCTGGCTAATTCACCAAACAACTGGGTTCTATAAAGTTTGTGCCGGTGACCTATAACTATTACACATATCCGTAAAGTCAGACATCCTTATTAGCATGATTGCCAAAGTATTCAAATAGAAGAAAAGACATCAGACGTCAATAACATACCAGTTAAATGTTGCTCATCCTTTGCTCTGATCCTCCCGGCATACATTTTGTAATAAATCACTTCCTAAATACTTTTATTTTTTCCTCCTTTTTAGATTTTCGATTTGTTTACATGACTGCAAAGCTCCGGTGCTTCTTTGTGCATTGGAGGGTCTGACAATGGTGCTGAATCCCCTGTTGCTATTAAATCACCCTGCGGGCCTTTGTAGCTCCCAGATTTGTTGAGAATTGTTGGCTGTGAGAAAACTTCCACCCATCAGCCTCAGAGAGGGGAGTGAGCCAGAGTGCAGAAGCTTTGTTTGCGGATATGAGACTACACAGAAAAGCTCAAGATAAAAAAAAGTATTCAGGTACTGATTTATTACAAACTGTACACAGGATGGATCAGAGCTAATTGGTTGCAACATTGAACTGATGAGTTAATGTGATACAGAAGAAAGAGGGAAAAAAAGCCGAATGGTAACTATTCTTAAAAATGTTTGCCAATCCTCCCCCTCCCTCCCTCCCTCCCTCCCTCATCTTGCCTACCCTATATAAAAAACAATCTGTGTACTTATATATTTTTAATCTGCTCTGGTTTGGTCATATGATCCTGCAGCTCCAGCTTTCCTGTGTAAGGCAGTGCTCAACAGCAGCTTTGAATTGCTGGAGCCGTGACTCCACCCATAGTCTCCTATGGCCCAGCCAATGTTGACGCTCCCTACTTTTCCCTGCAGCAGCAGCTTGCTGACACAGTGGAGCCAAAGCTACCTGATCACCGACAGAACCGAAATTGATTAAAAAGAAATAAGTAAGTACACAGACATTTTTTTTTTATACAGGATAGGCAGGGGGAAAATTTTTAAGAATAATTACTGTATTTTTCGCTCCATAAGATGCACTTTTCCCCCCCAAAAAAATGGGGGGGAAATGTCTGTGCGTCTTATGGAGCGGCCGGCCCGGTATTCTCGCCACCGCCGTGTTAGAATACCGGGCCAGCCGCTCGGCTCTGTGCAGCAGAACCTGCAGACCTCCAGCGGTCCTACCTGTTCCTCGTTCCAGCGGTGTCCTCAAAGTATTCTCTCGACATTGCCGGCATCTTTAGTGTGGGCACCCGGCTGTGACCGCTTTCGGCTTTACAGTCGGGTGCCCACTTCGCATGTGTGAGAAGCACTGCACTTTGTGAATGGCCCTGTAGTCTTCTGGGACCTGTCACGTGTCCCAGAAAGCTACAGGGAGGGAGGGGGAAGGACAACTCCACGGAAGTGGGAGTGGGTACCTGTCAGGGTACACGCTCTACCACCCCATACCCCGCTCACCAAAGGTCCGCAGTCTGGTCATCTGTACTATGTCCGCAGTCTCTGGTCATCTCCTGTACTGTGTCCGCAGTCTCTGGTCATCTCCTGTACTATGTCTGCAGTCTCTGGTCATCTCCTGTACTATGTCTGCAGTCTCTGGTCATCTCCTGTACTATGTCTGCAGTCTCTGGTCATCTCCTGTACTATGTCTGCAGTCTCTGGTCATCTCCTGTACTATGTCTGCAGTCTCTGGTCATCTCCTGTACTATCTCTGCAGTCTCTGGTCATCTCCTGTACTATCTCTGCAGTCTCTGGTCATCTCCTGTACTATGTCTGCAGTCTCTGGTCATCCCCTGTACTATGTCCGCAGTCTCTGTTAATCCCCTGTACTATGCAGTCTCGTTCAGTACTCTCTCTGTTCATCCCCTGTACTGTGTCCGCAGTCTCTGTTCATCCCCTGTACTGTGTCCGCAGTCTCTGTTCATCCCCTGTACTGTGTCCGCAGTCTCTGGTCATCCCCTGTACTATGTCCGCAGTCTCTGTTCATCCCCTGTACTATGTCCGCAGTCTCTGTTCATCCCCTGTACTATGTCCGCAGTCTCTGGTCACCCCCTGTACTATGTCCGCAGTCTCTGGTCATCCCCTGTAGTATATCCGCAGTCTCTGATCATCTCCTGTACTATGTCTGCATTGTCCTCCTCTAAAACCCAGGTGCGTCTTATGGTCAGGTGAGTCTTATGGCGTGAAAAATACGGTAGTTAGGCTTTTCTTTCACTTTTACACCCTAGTCTCTTTTACACCTTTTGCAAATAAGTTGTGCTCTCCATCCAAAATATGCACCTTGCTGTTCTCAAATGAATGCCCTTTTTTTTTTTTACTGCCAGGTTGAAGTGCTAACCACTTGGCCAAATACTTAGTAAAAATATGTAGAGTTTTTTTTTTCTTTTGCCAGTTTGTGATTATGGAGTGTTTTGTACAGGACAGTGCCATTTAATGTCAATTGTTTTTTAATTCCAGATTGTAACTACGAAATGTGGAAATGTCTATGAAGGTTTATACTTATGCAAAGTCCTGTGATATAAGATTGAGAAGAAAGGAGTAGAGCATGTTATATTGGGTAGTCAATGTCACGACCCGCGGTCGCCGCCACCAACAGGCGACAGTCGCACGACCGCGACTAACAGTAATACGTCACGCCCACGGCGTCAGACCCCAGACCTTCTCACCAAACTCGTGACCGAAGGGCCGGCCGATCCAAAACCGCGGTGTGACGCGCGTAACAAGGCCACACTCAGCTGCACCCAACACAGCGATTGCCCAGCTAATGGACTATAATCGGTGCCTGCAGCCTGAATGCGCTTGTTACTGGGTCGGGTTAGTTACGCAACTAACCCTCTACTGCCACCACCACTTTTGTCGGAGACTGGGAAACTCCCGTTATCAAATATACACTATAATGATTGAAATATTGATCTATATAGCACGGTCTGCGGACCTGCTATACAGAGATATAACAAACTGTAGCGTCTCTTCAAAGGCAGGGATTCGTGAATTGCAAGTAAGCGCTTAGAAACAGTTTAACACTTTCAGAAAGAAAGATTTATTACTAAAAGCGTCAGACAGATGCAAATACATATTTACAAAGAGATGTCACAAAAATATATATATATGTATATAAAGACACAGCAAAGAGATAATTAGGAAGAAGATTACAGGGTTGAGTTACTTGCCCTTAGCCTGGGTTTGCAGATCCAAGTTGTGAGCAGGGTGATTTCTTTGATCTCCCCTTGTTACGATGTTGCTGGGAGATCTCTCTGTGTGAGTCTTGTGTGTCTCCCCGACTAACTCACTTGACTCTCTTAAAGGTCCCTCTCAAAGGGGAGGGGGGGCTCTGACTACACGTTTTGGGAGTGGTCATTGGGAAACTCTACACTAAATTACCAGCTTCATATCCCGTGATATGAACCATACAGTTGACCTGAGGACTGTGCACTTACTCTGGTCAGTTTGATAAGGTGTGGGGCTTACATAGCTTTGGGTGACCAAAGTGACACGTCCGCAGACAGGCTGGCTCCACTTCTCATGTCTTAGCCTGGTTGTTCCACATCATCTGCCAGGAGATAAAGTCTGCCCCACAGGAATGCAAAGGGGGAGGGGGATGTGAGGAATGATTCAAGGAATACCTCAAATACAACAAGGTAAAGGAGAACTCTGCTTCCAGCTGGATGAGCTAGTTTGCTACAGTCAAGTGGTGCTTTAACATAAGTGAAGTATCTGGAGCTTAGTTGGTTGCTTTGGGCATCATCTGTTTAACTTCCAAAGTTTTTATAAAACATCTCAGTCTGTAAAATGTAGCCTGGTGCCTGAAAGCACTAATTCCCTTATCTAAATATAAACTCTGCCTAATCCGCTAACTATTGCAATTGTGAACTTGTGATTAAATAGAAAAAAATCATATATATATATATATATATATATATATATATATATATATATATACACACAATTCCTTTTATATAAATAGAATTCAGTACATGTGAATAAAAATTCCAAATGCGTTTCGTCATCCAATCATGACTGCTTCAGAAGGATCTTTCTGAAGCAGTGATGAGTGGATGATGAGGCATGTCAAGGGCATGACCGGATGACATCATCACATAAACAGAAACCGGAAGTCGGCCATCTTTGTGAGGAATCTGAAGCCAAAATCCAGCCTTAAGGGGGAAACTGTTTGATGTTTAAAAAGGCGATCTATACTATGTGCACGGATATAGTGCACCTATTTTGTGAGTGTTAATTTTAACGCTTTTAATAAACAGTATATGGGAGTTTACATGTTGTGCAATGAGGTTTGTTTTATTCTTTTGAGCACATGTATGGAGGAAAGATGATCCTTGGGAAGATAGGACACAGACATAGCTGCATAGAGATATAGCCCTGTTAAAGGGCAAAGTACATTTTGACCTATTCATACAGGTCAAAAATCCTGAGGTAAGCAGCCTGATTGGTAGGTGGTAGAAGACACTTTTTCCTGGGGGTGATTGATCACAAATAGCTGGACTGGTAGAATGTATATATTTATATGGATTACTCTCAAGGTGGAAGAAGATTATAGTGGACTTTTATACACTTGCATACTTAATTGCATGTGGACATTATTACTGTTTTTTGTGTTTTATGCAATTTTTTGAATATATATATATATATATATATATATATATATATATATATACTTTTGATTATATTTTTATCATTTATTATATATTTTTGTTTTGGTGGTAGTATTTTGTCTTTTTTTACTAATTCCCTTTTTGTTTTCTTTCAGAATGTTGTACCAGCTGAAGTGTCTCTAGTTTGTGTTGTTAAGCCGGATGAGTTCTGGGATAAGAAAGTGACGCACTTCTGTTTCTGGAAAGAGAAGGACAGACTAGGCTTTGAGGTATGTCTTTTTTTTTTTTATTGAATATGTTAAATTGCCTTTTCAGATAAAGTTCTGTTAACCTTTACGAAACAAAGTTCTAACAACGGAAGCTTAGAATAAGTCCTCATGCACAGTGGGCATTTTAAAAACGCCAGTAACGTGAATATAAGTCATATAGGTGGCAGAGGTCTGAAATTACACTCTGCAGAGCTCAATGAGGAGAGCTCTGAGAGCTGATTGGAGGGAAGGCACACATCCACCTCCACACAGTTCATGGGAACAGAGCTGAGGTTGTCAATCTGCTGGTGCTTCCTCCCTATCACCATTTTTCTCTTGGTGTCAGGAAAACTTATCAGAAGTGATTTATGTTGATAGAGTAATGAAGCAGCAGACATAAATTAAACTTAGTGCTCTTAATTGAGATAAGTACACATTTTAAATGGATATGCCTTGTTCATATTTCATTTCTGAGGTTTACAACCGCTTTAAAGATTTCTGGCCTGCAAAACTCATGGAACTGTTTCTTTTGTGTGCAGTCATTAAGAATAATTAACTGGCAATGATTCCTTGTAAAGGAACCCTCGCAGACTTCACTATGCATAGGAGAGTCAGATAATACATTCTTACCTTAAAGTGTAAGTTCATCTTTTCAGAATAGGTGATCTAGCACCATACAGCCTCACTCACCCGGTCCCTGCTGTACTTACCTTAGTGAGTGATGAGCTCTCAGTGCCCACTCAGCCGGTGTAGCAGTTTAGGGATTTGAAATCCCCATCTTCTCCCTCTTCTTTTGGCAGCACTTCTGGGATGGATCAGAGCAATTTTGATTGGTTAGTGCCAACACAGAGCATTGTTCTGGCCCATCCTGGAAGCACTGCAAAGAAAGAGCAGGGATCCCCAGACTTCCACATCGGCTTCTTGGGCACTGACACAGCTCATTACCAATAGAGGAAATGGGGGGGGGGGGGGGTTGGGTGGTTGGGGTGTATGATCACCTTTTTAAACCTAAAATGGTGAACTAGCCCTTTAAAGCTCATGGCATGGGAAGCACTATTCTAAGACTTCATAGTCTACACAACACGTAGCCATCAGTGCAGATCCCCTTCACACTGTACCATTCCATTAAGGTGCTTTACTGCATACAAATTAACGTGTTGCATTAGATCAGCCATTTCATCAAGAATGGGCAAAGAGAAGCATACTTGTTTTTTTTTAATGCAAGGCACATACATTGTGGTGCTCTGCAGTGCGATTCCATTGGCACCTACTGTACTTGTATACTGTGGTTCTGTTATAAATGAATTGCAATACAAGCACTGCTTGCTTGACAAGTGCTTTCTGTTACCACTGCTGTAAAACGCACATTTCCAAATTGCATAAGTCCAAAGTGGACTTAAAAACTATACTTTCAAATTAACTTAATGCTAATGCACCCCCATTCCTCATGCCTGCTATATTGCTCTTGCACATACTTTCGTTCAATGGGTGATGCAGTCCAGGAACCTGCATTCTATTGAATGTCAGAGAAGCTTCCATACAGGTTTGCAAGTAGACAGCTTTTGCCTTCAGGCCTATAAAGAACCCAGGACCCTTGGAACTCTGCACCCTGACATTGCATTTCCCTGCCCCCAAGCACCCCTACCACTGCACTCCTTGCTCTGAACCTCTTTGCCTCCTAGCACTCCTACCACTGCTCCTGTGGCTCTGGATCTCCCTGCCTTCCAGCAACCTTGACACCGTAACCCACCACCAGAAATACTGCACATTTATGCCTTCCAGCAATACTGTCCCCGCGTACCCCACCACTGATCCCCTTTTCATTTCAATAGATGTTTATTGAAGAATTTTGATTTTAGAAGATACAATTACAACCGCTATCGTATATACAGGAAAAAGTATGACATCAAGAGCCAATGGATCAAAAGCAGTCATGCATAAAATAACAAAACTGTAACAAGTGACAAAGTAGATGGTGTGTCAAGAAGTACATTGACCATTATTTATCAGTGAATCAGTGTGAGGAACAGAGGAGGATCCATATGCCTTTTGCACGGGATCAGGCATTGGTGAGAGAAATATTAGCACATGAAATACTCGGAGTATACAACCGAACCAAGGAATACATAGAACAAACCGCAAATCATCCCTGAGGGAGAGCCAATGAAGAGAGAAGAGGAAAGGAAAAAAAAGGGCGGGGGAGCGAGAAGGAGTTAAAGGGAGGACATCAAAAGCGCTCAAACACGGGCTATGGAGCCTCTATAATTATAGCAATGTAAAACTGTCTGTTGGTATAGCAGGATGGGCATGTTGGATCCAACTAGTCCATGTTTTAAGAAATCTCTCTTGGGTATCTGAAAGAATGCTGGAAAGATTTTCATTAATAAGAAAGAAGTCTAGGCAGTGGTGAACTTCCATAAAAGATGTGAACTGTTGTTTCCATGCCTTCGCTATCGTTTGTTTTGCCGCCAGTAGTATATAGGTAGCTAGCATAAATTGGTGTTTGGTGAGGCCCGGGGGTTTCAGGTGTAGAAGGATATGCCACGTGTCTCTTGGGAAGGGACAGGCCAGTAATGAATGTAGGTGTTTAAGGACCTTTATTTATCCAGAACTGAGAGAGCATGGGACATGTCTACAATATATGTAGGACGTCTCCTGGGGTAGAGCATCTTTGGAAACAGGTACTGGGGAAGATGAGTAAAGGTGTTCTAGGTGGGACAGGACTAGGTACCACCTTGTAACAGTTTTAAAGGCCAATTCGATAGTAAGAATATTGATGGAGCAGAAAATCAGGGTTGTCCATATTTGTGACCAGCTACCCCTATCTGTGGGCTTTTAAGGTCCTTTTCCCACCTGAAAACATAAGTGTGATTGTTGGGATTTTGAAGGTTATTCAACTGTGAGTAAAGAATAGATATAAGCTGGGGGGAGAAGGGCGTCCGATGACAAATATGTTCGAACAAGGACAGTTGGGTTGGTTGGATCTTTATCAGTGAGCACAAATGTTTGATTTGTAGGAATCGGAAAAGTTCATTGTGAGGGGCTTGATATTTGTCCTTTTTTTCTGCCCAGGTGTAGTCAGAACCACTGATCCCCTTTTCATACTCCATGTCATATTTCAAGGGACATGCAGAGAGGATGAGAGGTTTAGCCTGGGGTTTCTTGGCTCTCTGCCCATTTCCTCCTCCCTCTGGTGACATCCCCTCTTCCCCAGTGCAGCCTGAAGAGGCCAGTCAGGCCTTCAGCCTCTGGGGTACTATGCACATTTAGTATGCTTTTGGGGGAAGAAGGAGGAAATGAACATTTTTGAACCAACTACTAAACCCAACCACCACTGCCATTACTACCATTACTAAAAGGGGTGAGCTTGAGATTGGTTGGAACATGGATAGCAGCTGTCACTACCGCCCACTGCCACCCAGTCAACTGCTGCCAGGGCATTTGCTGCCCCATGTGGCCATATTAGGTCAGGGATGTCACAAGCATTCCTGCCTCCCTATGTACATACAGCTGGAGAGTGGGGTATGCCCTGGCCATAGTTGAATTGGCGGGAGTGACTGCTTTGGACTGAATCCGGAAGGAAGCAAAGTATGGATCAAACCCAAGATCATCCCTAATTACAGGTATTACTTAACTCATTAAATGTGGCAGCTATATTCTAGAAGTCCAACATCCAAATGTATTCTTTATTTTGTTTTTACTTTCAAGGTAAATGTTTTATTAAAAATACAGTGGCCCCATTTATTCCTCTTCCCTCTGAAATTATTAAACCTGCTATAATTTTATTTTAAACATTAAATCTCAATATCAGGCTGAAACTAAGGGTGGAAACTTAAACCCCATTTTACTTGCTGTATTCTACAAACCGAAAATGATCTGTGATGAAATGGGTCAAGTTTCCTGTCGTTTGAACTATTTGATTCCTTTAAACTCTCTAATCCTATTAGTTTGAATTTCAGCACTGAATTTATGTATTTACAACTCCCTGCCAACCTACTTTCATGTATAAAGCTGATTTTAATGTATTTTGGCCTTGCTAAGATTGCAGAATAGTCATTTCCTTTACTTATTTTTTCCTTCTTTTTTTGACTGACAGTAAAGATCACAAAATTTGGAAATTAATTCCGTTAGGTCATCCGATGACCAATACATGTTTTCATAAGGATCACAAAGACATTATCTATTGGTGTAGACAAGCATTGCAGTGCAATATACCAACTTAAATCCTTCTGCATGTCTTTTTATGTCCTATTAAAAACAAGTGATGTCAAATGTTAGTAACGGTACAGATGTGCTTACATTTATTGGCATTAAACAGGACAGGACTCTGAAGCCTGAGAGTACATCCCCCTAGTCTTTAACCGGTTGTGGATATTGCGCATGCTCTAAACAATCAATATAACTTCATTGCAGTACACAGGACACATGTAGTGGGCAAAATAATTCTTTGTTTTTTTAACCAAGACCAGTAATAGTAGATGTCACAGAAACCACTGTGACTTGGGCTCCTGGAGGAGTGTAGGGACAGCCTCCTTCCCACCGACTACAGACCCAGGACTAAAGAGACCCCCCCCCCCCCCCTTGGGGTTACAAGGAATCTTTAACCCAAGAGGGTTATCACTTCCCTGGGTACCTGGCTGGCTGTGAATTATACCAGCTACCCTTTCCATGCTATTAGGGCTAGAGGGACTGTTTTTGGGATCCCTTAGCTTACTTTGCATAGCAGAACTATTATCCTGGAGCGGTGTGTTTATGTGCAAGGAGTGGGTGAATTTCAGCATATGTGGAGTTAAGAAACTTTATTTTCTGTTACAGGTTTCTGGCATCAACTTTTTTATTGCAACAGTTAGGTTTAAATGATAAGCTCCTACTATGTTTAGTCACCTCCAGAGTCCAGATTGCTAGGTGCTGGGAAGGAATCCATTGGTTTGTTTGTGTTTGTTTATGTAATGTAATTTTCTTCTGGGACTTCTAATGTGTGCCATACATGTCTAGGGAGAAGGTTTTTGTGTATAAATGCTGTGCTGTTTATTAATAAAGTCATTCCTGTTTTACTCCAACATTGTTTCTGTCTGAATCTTGAGGTAAATATATTCTGGTTCAAGAGTGGAGGAAGCTGTAGTTTGGCAGAGATACCTAGTCAGGGTGTCGGTATGTCAGAGTAGAGAAGAAGTGTTTTTTGTGGGGGTTTTTTAAGTTGTGTTTATCGTCTATGGATTGCATACATGATAAAATCACATTTGCAAGACATTTTCACTGGAAGAAAGTCTTGTTTGCCCTAAAGAAAAAAGAGCAGATACATGTCTTACTTTGTCTAAAGTAATGGCAAAATTATTGCTGAATAAACAGGTCCGTTGCAGAAATGTGCTGGTGTTGACCTGTCTTCTACTCTTTCAAGCTAAAAGTGCTTTTTTGGTGCATTGCTAAGCAATGTGAACCCCATATCCAATGAACATGACCTTTTATTGGCCAGCAAGTCACTTTAGGTGGATAAAAGTTGGTGAGACTTAGACCCTAAGCCAAGGAAGCTGCCTGCTACTAGACATCACTTTTAGTTTCTAACAGCAAGAGTAGAGAACAAAATCCTCTACTCCTGTTGTGAATTTACTCTTAAATTTACAATACACATTATAAACTGCACGATCTCTGTATAATCGTCTTTAGATTTACAAATACTATTTAATATAAGGAACTACTTAAACTATCAAGTCAGTGTTATCCAACCAGGCAAGCCCTTGTACTGCATATTCCTTAGTAGAGCTAAAGGAGATTGTGCAGTCAACTTGTAATGTGTGGGGGGGGGGAGCCCTAGTTATTTTTATAAATGAATCCTGGATACAAAGTTTTATTTTTTTATATATATATATATATATATATATATATATACAGTTGTGTTCAAAATAATAGCAGTGTGTTGAAAAAAGTGAATAAAGCTCAAAATCCTTCTAATAGCTTTTATTTCCATACACACAAATGCATTGGGAACACTACACATTCTATTCCAAATCAAAACATGAAGAAAAATATATCAAATTTGTGTTGTTCCTCTAAAAAACAATTGAAGAAAAGTGAATATTAGACTGTTCAAAAATATAGCAGTGTTTGTATTCTTCTTTACAAACTCAAACATTCACTATATAAACTGAAATATGTTTGAAGATTTGGCTTTCCTTTGAATCACTTAATTAATATTTAGTTGTATAAGCACTGTTTCTGAGAACTGCTGTACATCTGTGTTGCATGGAGTCAACCAACTTCTGGCACCTGTGAACAGGTATTCCAGCCCAGGATGATTGGACTACATTCCACAGTTCTTCTCTATTTCTTGGTTTTGCCTCAGAAACTGCATTTTTGATGTCACCCCACAAATTTTCTATTGGATTAAGATCCGGGGATTGGGCTGGCCACTCCATAACGTCAATCTTGTTGGTCTGGAACCAAGATGTTGCACGTTTACTGGTGTGTTTGGGGTCGTTGTCTTGTTGGAACACCCATTTCAAGGGCATTTCCTTTTCAGCATAAGGCAGCACGACCTCTTCAAGTATTCTGATGTATTCAAACCGATCCATGATCCCTGGTATGCGATAAATAGGCCCAACACCGTAGTATGAGAAACATCCCCATATCATGATGCTTGCGCAACCATGCTTCACTGTCTTCACAGTGTACTGTGGCTTGAATTCAGTGTTTGGGGGTCGTCTGACAAACTGTCTCCGGCCACTAGACCCAAAAAGAACAATCTTAGTTTCATCAGTCCACAAAATGTGGCGGCATTTCTCTTTAGGCCAGTCAATGTGCTCTTTGGCAAATTGTAACCTCTTCAGCACATGTCTTTTTTTCAACAGTGGGACTTTGCGGGGGCTTCTTGCAGATAGCTTGGCTTCACATAGTCGTCTTCTAATTGTAACAGTACTCACAGGTAACTTTAGACCTACTTTGATCTTCCTGGAGCTGATTGTTGGCTGAGTCCTTGCCATTTTGGCTATTCTTCTATCCATTCGAATGGTAGTTTTTCGCTTTCTTCCACGTCTTTCAGGTTTTGGTTGCCATTTTAAAGCATTTGCAATCATTTTAGCTGAGCAGCCTATCATTTTCTGCACTTTTTTATGTTTCCCCCCCTCCAATCAACTTTTTAATCAAGGTACGCTGTTCTTCTGAACAATGTCTGGAACGCCCCATTTTCCTCAGAATTTCAGAGAAAAATGCGCTGTAACCAGCATGTAGAACATTTTCTGCCTTCCTTCCTTAAATAAGGGCAATAATTGCCACCTGTTTTTCAAAGAATGAATGACCTCACTAATAGAACTCCACACTGCTATTATTTTGAACATGTCCCTTTCAATTAGTGATTCAATTACACAGAATCAGCAGCATGCATGTCATGACTGTTGGGTCTGTTGGATTTCTATTACTCTACTACACCTGCTAGTAAATTATTTGCCATGTAGAAATATCATTTCTACCAAAAACAGTGATTGATCAGGTTAGTGATGTCTGACTGCTATTGTTTTTGAACATACACACACACTCTCTTTAGACACAGGCACACTTAGACACAGGCACAATTTTCATACTTTTGGCTCAATATGCCAGCAGAATAAATTAAAACAAAAGAATATACATACATTTGAAGTGCAGACTTTCAGCTTTAATTCAAGGCATTGAACATAAATATCAAGTACAAATTTTAGGAACTGCAACCATTTTTAAACACAGCCCCTCCATTTTCAGGGGCTCAAATGTAATGGGACAAATGAATATAATCCGAAATAAAATGTTCATTTTTAATATTTTGATGGGAATCCTTTACTGGCAATGACTACCTGAGGTCTGGAATCCATGGACATCACCAAAGACTGTGTTTCCTCCTTTCTGATGCTTTGCCAGGCTCTAACTGCAGCTGTCTTCATTTGTTCTTTGAGGGTCTTTCTGCCTTTAGTTTTGCCTTCAGCAAGTGAAATGAATGCTCAATTGGGTTGAAATCAGGTGATTGACTCGGCCATTGCAGAATATTTCACTTCTTTTCCTTAAAAAGCTCCTGGGTTGCTTTTGCAGTGTGTTTTGGATCATTGTCCATCTGTACTGTGAAGCGCCGTCCAATCAGCTTTTCTGCATTTGGCTGAATCTGGGCTGACAGTATATCTCTAAACACTGCAGAAATCATGCGGCTGCTTCTGTCTTCTGTCACATCATCAATAAACATCAGTGACCCAGTGCCACTGGAAGCCATGCATGCCCATGCCATCACACTGCCTCCACCATATTTTATAGAGGACGTTGTGTGCTTTGGATCATGAGCTGTTCCAAGCCTTTTCCACACTTTTTTTCTTCCCGTCATTCTGGTATAGATTAATATTAGTTTCATCCATCCAAAGAATGCTTTTCCAGAACTGGTCTGGCTTTTTTAGATGTTTTTTGGCAAAGTTAAATCTTGCTTTTCTATTATTCAAGCTTATGAATATAATAATTTATTACACACTGTATTGCCAAAAGTATTGGGACACTCCTCCAAATCATCAGGTGTTCCAATCACCTCCATGGCCACAGGTGTGTAAAATCAAGCATCTAGGCATGCAGACTGCTTCTACAAACATTTGTGAAAGAATGGGTCACTCTCAGGAGCTCAGTAAATTCAAGTGTGGTACCGTTCTAGGTTGCCACATGTGCAATAAGAAAATTTCCTTGCTACTAAATATTCCACGGTCAACTGTTAGTGGTATTATAAACAAAGTGAAAGCAACTGGGAACAACAGCAAAGTCGCCATCTGTCTGCAGAGTCAGTAGCTACAGACCTCCAAAGTTCATGTGGCCTTCAGATTAGCACAACAACAGTGAGTAGAGAGCTTCCTGGATTGGGTTTCCATGGCTGAGCAGCTGCATCCAAGCCTTTCATTACCAAGTACAATGCAAAGCATCAGATGCATTGGTGTAAAGCACGCTGCCACTGGACTCTAGAGCATGGAGACATGTTCTCTGGAGTGACAAATCACACTTCTCTGTCTGGCAATCCGATCGCCGTGCCTGGGTTTGGTGGCTGTCAGGAGAATGTACTTGCCTGACTGTATTGTGCCAAATGTAAAGTTTGGTGGAGGGGGGATTATGGTGTGGGGTTGTTTTTCATGGGTTGGGCTTGGCCCCTTAGTTCCAGTGAAGGGAACTCTTAAGGCGCCAGCATACCAAAACATTTTTGAACAATTTCGTGCTCCCAACTTTGTGGGAACAGTTTGGGAATGGTTCCCTCCTGTTCCAACATGACTGCGCACCAGTGCAGAAAGTGGTTGAGAGAGTTTGGGGTGGAAGAACCTGACTGGCTTGCAGAGAGTCCTGATCTCAACCCGATAGAACACCTGTGGGATGAATTAGAGCGGAGACTGTGAGCCAGGCCTTCTCATCCGTAATCATTGCCTGACCTCACAAATGTGCTCCTGGAACAATGGTCAAAAATTCCCATAGACACACTCCTAAACCTTGCGGACAGCCTTCCCAGAAGAGTTGAAGCTGTTAAAGCTGCAAAGAGTGGGCCAACTCAATATTGAACCCTACGGACTTATGCAGGCTATAGACAGGTAGTTTATCGGCCGAATGTTCGTCCTCATGAAAAATCGGCCGATAATCACGCTGTTAATGGGGCCAGCCAGTTGGCCGTTTTGTTTGTGGATCTCCTCATTTATTTTTATTGGTCATGCTGGAAAATCAGTTTTTCGCGGACATGGGTGGCATCGGCAACGGGCCGACCGATTTTTGTTTATCGGCCCGTCTATGGCCTGCATAAGACTGGGATGCCATTAAAGTCAATTTGCGTGTAAAAGCAGGCAGCCCAATACTTTTGACAATATAGTATCTATCTATCTATCTATCATCTCAACAATTGGAGCAGATAACTCCTGTTGTATTGCAAATCTTATCTTTTGGGGATCTCATTAATGGTGGGCTCCCATAATTCCATCCATATAAAACATCCAAAAATAAATGAGAACAAGATCTCAAGTTGCTTAAACCTTTTCTTTACTTCAAGTGTATCTTCATACAAAAATTACAGTTTCAAGCATAACACTGCTTGATGAAGAGCAATGTTATGCTTGAAACTGTGCAATCGCGCTATTTTTTTTTTTATGAAGATGCACTTGAAGTAAAGGGAATTTTTTGCAACTTGGAGATCTCATTCTCATTTGTATTTGGATGTTAAATATATATAAATATAATTAAGTGCTAACATCATTCATCAGTGACTTGATGAATAGGATCACTAGAAAGAAGTCTGCTTTGTGTTGTCTTGTGAGACCCTCCAGTGTCATCCCCACAGCTGTAGTCAATATATCCAACCACCTAGTAGTCAGTCTCCCTCTTCGCCTGGTTTCTTCGATCTTCTCAAACATTTTCCTTTTTCCAGTGATCTCTCCCTTGTGATAGTGTGACCAAAATAGGACATTCACTACTTCATCATTTGGTCTTCTAGTGACCTAGCCGGTTTGATCCCTTCCAAAATCCATCTATTATTTCTCTAGGCTGTCCATGGCACACATAAAATCCTTCTCCAAATTCCACAGATAAATGGCAATTGACATTATGACCTTTTTAATTGAATAATGCAAAGAGCAGTGGTGTGCAAATAGTCAAACAGTTTGTTTCAATTTTATCCATAAGATTATTTAAATATTTCAGATTATGTAGAACAGTTTGGTGGCTTTCTAGGATTTTTGTTTTAAAGGGACAAAATATTAATATGATATGTAAATTATATTCTAAAATGTATTCCTTCACCTGGTCCTGTTTAAAAGAGGGCCTCTGTGTATGCTTTAAATCATGTACTTTTCCAAATTATGTGCATTTTTTTGTTTTATAGCGTGTGGCTGAGATGGGCTACTAATGAAGGCCCAACGTTAGAGATACCCATTCTGCTCTAGGAGCATAATGGAGTTCCAACATTTGTGTATTGTGTCTGCTTTTTTTCACCAATCTGAATGTCTCCAGATAATAGAGCTTTCTATATATATTAAAAAGGTGAACCCTATTACGCCCCGGTAACATACTGTTCTTTGGGATTGAGTTTTCTCAGTGTTACTTTAGAAGTTAATGCCATTATCCATGACGCAGCATTTTTCTGTATGTATGACACTCTGTTTTGTGTCTATTGAACCCATATCTGTCAACTGTTTAACCTCTGTTAAAATAAAGGAATTACAAATAAAAAGGTGAGCCTGAAAATGCTTGCAGTAGTCCATATTTGTTCCTTAATCAAAATAAGGACCTGTGTGGCATGTAGGGTCTCTAAAGGACCTTTCCTTGCAACCATTCTGTTACAGTGTGGTTGACTGCCAAGCAGATAAGGGCTACATACCCAGGCCTCAACTCTCCTTTAAAAGTGAGGGTTGTGAAACATTGAACAAGCACCTATTTGGGGTTGTGATAATACTGTTATCGTTTGCATTCTTTTAAAGCTGATTATTTTGCTTTGGTGGATTTTTAAAACCTAAACCTGGGTCTCTGTCTGGTTGATTTACATATCATTCTATGGAGCTATCAGCAAGGGAGCCTGTGACAGCAGCCGAAAAATCCATGCTGGGTGGACCTGACCTTTTAAGTCATGTTATGTTTGCATGGACAATCTCCTTAACTTTGTTTTATTAGTGCTGTTATAAAATGACACCAAACATTCGCTCTAATTTTGTTGACCTCTTACTCTTGCCAATTATTTTTCTCGCCGTTTGTATCAGTTGATCAGACATGTAAATGTTTCTCCACGGTTAAAAAGCATTATTGGTTCAGGGCAGCCTACGAAGTCAGTCAAACCTACCAAGCTGTGACAGTATGAAATTAATTTGAATTTAGATGATATTTTCTGCGAATGAAGAATCGTCCTCCCATCCATATCCAATATTATGGTTTTAATCAAATTCCATGGCTGACAGCCAGAGATTTCTTAAACTGAAATATTTATGCATTGTGACGTTTGCTGTTCACGTTACGAGATCCTAAAGCCCACATATTAACTTTACAAATTGCATGTTAACCTATGAGTGTAAGCAGGCCTTCACTGAAGGGAAATAAACTGTAAAACTAAGTTCTTTTAAAACCTTCATAGTCAAAACACAGTTCTAGCACACCCTTAAAAAAGGAAAGAGGAACTCCAGGAAAACATGATTTTTTTAAAAAAATTTTTTACTGTAACTTGGTCCAGATAAGTTTCCTCTAATACTAGTTTTAGTCGGTATGGATCTCAGGTAAGCTTAAAATGCTGTTTTTATTCCTGCTGAATACCACTGACAGCTGTGATCCTCTGGCACTGGCTATGAGGTTTCCAGTGATAGTATAGTGAGGGTTTCCTTCCCTTCCTCTACCCTCGTCCCTTCACAAAACTTCTTGTATCCTGTCAGCACAATACAAGGTATTTTTTTTTTTTTGAATGGGCAAGGGGAAGACTTTTCATTTACCCTGTTCCCCCTCATCCATTCACAAAATGCTATGAATTCTGTGAACTTAATAAATTAAATTTTGTGAATGGATGAAGGGAAGGGAGCTACACTATCCTTTAATTGTATTATCACCAGAACTCTAGTCACAGTGCTGGAGGATTGCAACTGTCAGTTGTAGCCAACATGAGTAAAACTAGCATTATTACCTTACCCAGCAGACATCCGGACCTACTCCGTATTAGAGGTCACTTATCTGGACCAAGCAGTGCATTTTTTTTTTCCTGGAGTTCAGTTTCAAAGGCATTTGTTCACTTTCACTTTATTTAGTTATAAGTGTAGTTATATTCCCTCTGTTGTTTTTTTTTGCCTAATCTTGTAATGGTAGGCACACATGTTGCTGCTGCAGTTTGTAGTGTCATGACTGGTCAATACCTCTGTGAAATCATTCACCTAGCTTGTCCCTATTCACTAGGGGGACAGACAACTTCTTGTTCTAGGTCATGCATCCAATCTATGTGTTGCCATCTCCTCTGTGTTGCATCACAAATGTAGAAGTGCTAATACAGCATGGTGATCTCTCATCACATGTTAACTGCTCTGTCTATTTGTGTCTGTGCCAGATTACATTACTATTTAGCTGTCACCTGAAGAGCGCTGAACCAAGGGACCCTGGGATTGTGGGATATGTAGTTTCTACAAAGGAAATGTCAGTTCTTAGACTACAGACAGAGGTCATGCATTAACCTGAGAAGTGCCATGTACCATACCTCATTTTTTAACACAGAAAAACTGCTGACACAGCAATGTGAAGATTTGCTCTACTATAGAGTGTTTGTATAGGGCAATAAATGACACCATGAGACTACATGATCAATACACATCTTGAAAAACTCAAAGCTCAGGTAGGAAGGTTTATAATACCTTTAACATTTTCATGAGAATATAAAAAGGGCATAATGTTTATTAAAGGGCTGCTAAAATCAAAGTAGATGTAAACCTAATCATTAAAATCTCATTTATGCTTTAACATGTTAATGTCATTTCAAATGTCATTTTCAGTCTTTCTAACCCTGCAGCTTTCATCGACATAATACCTGGTAATCCTGTTATGAATGTCCTTGTTTGGGTTACATATGTCTTCTAATTGCTTGTCTTCTACATTACTCTGTCACACATGCCCTCATGGGAACTTTCAAGCAGCTGTGCCAATGTACATTGTGCAGGCATAGTCTGTCATATTCACCCTTAGAATTCAGAGCAGTGATGTACAGTGGAGGAAGTGACTGAGAAAGGTTGGAGGAGTTTAGTAGTGTTGAGATGCTAAAAAAAACTAAATAAAAAGGGGAAACTGCATTTTATTAAAAAGCCATGAGAAACTAAATGTTTTCCAGTTGTGATTGATCCTACCATGAAGGTCCTTGTTCAGGCACTTCTATTATAAGTTGACAAGTGTTCTGCCCCTGTCTCCAAATTGCTTTTCTGCATTATCAACCTGTCTGTAGTGCTTCCAATGAAAACTACAAGCTGCTTAAAGTGGTTTTAAACCTTAGACATGAAATATGAAGACATGGCCCTCTAAAGTGTGTACTTGTCTAAATTAGGAGCACAAAGTGTCATTTCTATCTTCCACCTTCCTCTGCTATCAGCATGAATCACATGACAAGTGTTCCTGACACCAAGAGAAATAAATTGATGTTGAAGGGGGGACCTCCTGCATACAGCCTGTGACTGACATCCTCAGCTCTGTTCCTGTGTGCAGTGAGAAGGGGTGTGTCCTTTACCTGCAATCAGCTGTCAGAGCTCTCCTCATTTAAAATGACGCTATAGCTTTTCCTTTAAAAAAAAAAAAAAAAACATGTCTATAGTTACCTACTTTGTGCAGCGATTTTTGTACGAATCAGGGATCATCTTCTTTTCTGGTCCCTGCCGACGCTCCTCCTCCTCGAGCAGTCCCCCTAGGGAAAGCCACTCGCCCTGGGGACACCACTGTGAGCTCGTCCCTAAGCCACTACTCTATGCATCCATAAGACACATAGAGCTGCTGATCGCATCCCCCCCCCCCACCACCACCCCACTCTCCCCTCATTGGCTCACTGGCTGTGCTTGACAGCAGCGGGAGTCAATGGGCTCCCGCTGCTGCCTCAGCCAGTGAGGAGGAAGAGTCCTCAGACAGCAGAGGCTTTCGAGAACGTCACTGCATCAGAGGAGCCTCAGGTAAGGATTGGGGTGAGCTGGGGCGGCCCTGCACACAGATGTTTTACCTTCATGCATAGAATAGGTGAAGGTAAAAAACCTTGAGCTTTTAAAACCACTTTAACTCTGCAGTGTGTAATTTCAGCTGTCCACCCTATTTTCTGAAAGCTTAGGCAAGCTTTATAAATTTTGGACATTGAACAGATGTAGAGAAGAGAAGACAGCAGATAAACAGGTAAAACTTATGTAACAGGATTTGTTTCATCTCTGTTTATCATCTGAGGCCAGTCACTTCACTGGGTATAAGTAGGAGTTGACAACCACTTTAATGAACAAACCTGTGTGTGGGCCCTTAACAATGACATGCAGCCGCAACTGGACCACATACATGTTGACAGGAAGTGGCTGTAAAGAGGCAGGAGGTGACCAGCAGCACTGAGATGCAAGAAAAGATGAAGAAAGGTGAAAAAAAACATTGTTTTCCCAATAAAAAAAAACAACAAAAAAACATGGCCGTTGTTTGATTCTCAGTGCTTTAGCAAACCAAGCATTATCCAGTTAGTGATTAGATCTGGAGTCTTCAAATGGGGACACTTGTTCCAGCAACAACTGTCAGTTACTGGTCTTTATATCATAAAGGCCACCCTTACCCTTTCTGTGAATGATATTCATAAACATATTGTAGCAACCAAATCACTGTATTTACTCCAAATGTATACTTTGTATTATTCCTTCATTATAATCAATATGTCATTTTCACTACAGTTACCAAACGAAAACTTTTGCCTTGTTCTTATATTCTTTGATTATGTCTTGTGTATTATGTATAATTAAAAGTGCTGGGACTTGTTATAGCAGACAAGTGACTGTCTCATATTCCTGCCCACTTTAGGTTATTCTAGTGTCTGGGAACAAGCTTACCCGATACATAGAACCTTCACAGCTCACAGAGGAATTTGGAGGAAGCCTTACCTATGACCACATGGACTGGTTGAATAAAAGGCTTGTAAGTAAATGATGGCCATTTTTAATTTTTGATTGTATCCAAGATTACTTATGCACTGCCACTTCTTTTTGTACTCTAAAATCATGAAGTGAGGTGCTGCCATCACCTACATATGTGTCCCCACATACACTCAGAATAAACTAAATCAGACTGGTGTAGCGCTGCTCAGAAAAAAAACTGACAAAACTCGCTCTGTGTTTTCTATTATAAACAAACTGTTAGTCATCCGTGAATCCACAATCACAGTGCTACAAATTACAGCAATTTTTTTCCCATTCAGGTTCTCTGAACAATTCTTACAGTATTTGAAACCAAAGTCCTAGTTCAACAAAAAAGTAAAAGTATTTTATAATTCGCAACCACAATCCCAGTGCTGCAAGTGAAACACAAAAAATCCCAGTGAGGCAAGTGTAATTGCATAATTCATAAAATGTATAACAGTCCACAGTTTATTGGGTGTGCCAATATTCAGTGGTTTTCAGAATGTAACAATTCTTATAGTGTCAGTATTATGCATTCACCACCATTACAGTGTTCACACACCATATGACCATGCTCCACCACTGTGCAAAGGAACTGTTCACCTTTATATCAGACCCTTACTCTCATATAGATCATATAGTGCATGAATCTATTGCCAACAGATTGGACTACTCTCTGCCATATAGGTGCAGGTCCCTCTTAAATGTCTTCTCTTATTCAGCAGCAATGGACAGCAGTACTCAAAATGAAAAAGAACTTCCCATAGTCTAATAACGTCTCTTTATGAGCTTTATTAAACTGAAAAATCACCGTTCACATGTCAAATATCACCCACATAGAGTGTTTTACGCATTAAACCTAGTCAGAGCACCTCACCCGACTCCCAGTCTCAGCCAGGACTGGAAGTGACATCACCCGGCTCCACCCAACATGTTGCGTCACCGATCATGTGAATTCCTCAGGATTTACTGAGATGGAATTATATTTCTAGCAGATATCATATTGTGAAACAGGACAGTGGAAGCATCATATTTAAAAATCAATGAATATTTTGACCTGTGGTGTTTTCCTGTGGCAATATAAGCTGTTTATTTGAGCCTGGGGGATCTGTTCAAAACTTGCTGATAGCAAATCTGTGATAAAAACTGGTAGGGGGCATGCCACTGAGTGCAGTAGGAACAAACAGGCATTAGTAAAACTTATCGGTCATTTGTGCTTCACTGTGGATGTGTATTGCTGTTATGATAACCAAAGCCATGCAGCGGTGCTGTGTTGGAAAGCATAAAAATGCCAGTAAAGTAGAAAGGGCACCAAATTATTCCTTATGAAATTTTTTTTTTACTTTTTGTAAGTATCTGAGGCCTGTTTTGAAACAACTATCATTGGTTTACTGCTACAGGGAAAGCCTACAGTTTTTTTTTTTTTTTTTTATTCCTCCATGAAAAGTAGTAAGCTGTCTATAGAATAGACACAACCTTCCACATGTCTACAACTCCCCCTATTGCTGCAAGGCATCATCCAAATAATGTCCCTAGATGTGATGGATTTGAAAAATCTTGTAATAAAATACCCTTTGCCGTATCAGTGAACTTTTTGGACTGCCTAACCATATGAAGTATAAAGGTGAAGTCAAAGTGAAGCTAGGTTAGAACAGTGATTTTCAGTTTGCGTTTTCCCAACACAACCTTTGCAGTGCCCAAGTGCCACCTGTTCAATTTTCTGTACTTTTCCCCAAAATGTCCAATGGAACACATGCAAGTCCCCAACACTGTTTTACTAAGCTGCAGAAAATATCTTCCACTGTTGGATGACAGTAGGCTAAAGCTGGTCCTAGATGAGTGAGTTTTTGCCTTCAACAAGCGTGTTGAACAAAAAAAAAAAGATCCTGCAGCATTGATCAAGAGAAAAAAATCCAGTAGGGCAGTTGTACACAAGTCGATTGGTAGATTTATTAAACCACAGTGCTTCGAACAGCCCCACTTTTGTGCTTATTGTCTTTCTCCAGTTTTAATAAATTTACCCTTATGTAGACATACAAATAAGTGTTTGCATTTATATTGAGAACTCATTCTACTCTTCAGCTGCAAAGAGCTGTTTTTGCAGTGGAAATTTTGCTTTCAGCTGCACTCATTCTATTCCTGATGTATGTAATGCTTTCTCTGCTGAATTTCAGGTATTTGAGAAGTTCACAAAAGAATCAACATCATTGCTGGATGAACTTGCTGTTATCAACAATGGGAGCGATAAGGGAAATCAGAACGAAAAAGACAGGTTTGTGAAACAAGCTGATTGTACTTTCCTTGTCCTGATCAGCTTTCTTATCATAATGGCATTATTAGACGCCATGTGTGCTGCCTGCCTTTCATAACCAGCATTAAGATGTGCTTCTTTACAAACCCATGGAACAAACCCATGGAACATCTGGCTAAAGCAAGGATGCAACAAAAAAATATTTGGTGCTTAAATTCTTTAGTGTGTGTGTGTGTGTGTGTATATGTATGTATGTGTGTGTATATATATATATATATATATATATATATATATATATATATATATATACATTGTGGGTGTATCTATTTTCCTCATGTAAGCAATTTATTAGTGACTTGATACATTTTACAAAAAGCAGCCCCTAGCATGTGCTGCACACCCTCTGCCCAAACCTTTCACCATTACTCTAACTTCTAAAATAATCCTTTGTCTCCTATCCTGCCTCCTAATAGTTGAAGATCTATGGTCACAGCATACACCTTTATTTTATAACATCAGCATTGTAATAGCAATACAAAAAATAATTATTTTTTATAATCTAATATAAAGTTACCCTAAAAAGCTCCTTTCATAATGTGAGTGCTGCCTGTCTGCTGGTCATCTCTTTCCACAACTTTTGGATTTTCTGCATGCTTTGAATCTTCTCTGCTGATTACTTTCAGTTTCTATTCCTGTACTGTCTCTGCCTTCCAAAATTCCACCTCTCAGCACCTTGGTAGTTCAGAAGGCAGGTTCTGTGAATTCTCTGACACAGCTGTGCCTATTAACAGGGCACATATGTGATATGGGATGATGTCATTCCCGCGCATAAGCAGGAGTGCTGTCAAATTTGGCATTGCCGAATTTGTACAGTGAGCTACGCATGCGTGGCCAGGCAGGTAAGTAATGTCTCAATTCCTGCCTGTTCACTTTTTTTTTGGTTTTTACCTAAAGTTCAACTTTAAAGTGTATGTCAGGGCAAAAAAAAAGTAGTGCACTGCTGCAATACAGAAAGATTTTTTTTTTTTTTCCAGAGAGCCTGCAAGTACAGAAAAATATTGATCTGACAAAAATGCACTCAGCTGCCATGACCTGTTATAAGCTGACAATACAGCATTTTTGACTGATTGTTGTCAGCCCTGCTCAGTTTTCTGTTGTTGAACTGCTGAATCCCTGCACTTATCCTCATCTCTACACCATGACAATGAAATGAGAACTGGGAGAGCTCGGCAACATGGAAGCTCTCTATTTTCTACATTAAAGTGGTAGTAAACACTGCTTGGTGACTTGTATCTACAGGTGAGGTTATACAGCTTGTAAAGCTTACCTGTAGGTACAAGGAATATCTCCTAAATATGGACTGTGTAGGAGATAATCACTATTTCTGCATCACCAGCACCTGCGCACTGCACTCTGAAGGGATACCATACTTAGTATACCATCCTTTCAGAGCGCTGTGCCACTACCGTGGATCCCGTACGCATGTGCAGGAGTGACATCATTGCAGCTCGGCCATGTGGCTGGAGTCCACAAACCTAGAAAGAAGACTGGGGAAAGATGGAAGCCCTGTCAGCAGTGACATCGTGCACCGCTGTAGGGTTCGTTTTTAAGGCAAGTCTTTCATAATGTGCTAAAGACTTCACTACCACTTTAATGGGTATTTTTTGCACTTCTAAAACAAAAATACCAAAGCGGTTTCAACTATATATTTTACAGACCAAAAGGGGCAAATAAGATAAGTAAAGAGATAAGGAATTCTGACACTTTTACTCGCTCTGGGTCTGTGAATGAAATGTATTAAAGCCAGGCAACTAGCATTTTCAAGAAGAGACCAGCAAATGACATCTTCCATACTTTGCTGATAGCTGGTATAGTTGAACTTAACCAGAGCCAAATTGCTCTATTCTTGCTTTTTGTTTTTGGCGCAGCAAATGCATATAAAGTTGCACACAAAATGCAATGCAATCTTTGCTTCTATATACAGGGTGATTCTGAAAACTACATACAGTAAAGTTAATGCATGGGCATGGACAGTTACAGTGACTGTAATAGCACACATCCCAGTGTGTGCTTTGCATGCATTTTCAAATGTATTTAGTTGCAAACAAAAATACACAAATGAAATCACTTAAGTGGTTTTAAAGGGTGAAGATTTTTTATCTTTATGCATTTTATGCCAGAAAATCCCTTATACTAGCTTCTTGTTTGATGTGACAACACAGTGCCTTTGCTGCCCTGAATACTCAACCAGTATTGTCAGCTCTGCTTGTTGGACTAAAAAACTTCACCCATCCTTACCCCTCACTCTGGCATTTAATTTGCATCTATTGATTTCTTACCTAGCAAAACAATGCTGCAACCTTGACTTCCAAGAAGCTGTTCGCAGTGTGTAGGAAAAAGGCTATTGGGAGATGTATTTCTGGGGTGGGGTGTACCTGCATCAGTAAAAAACTTAATTCCCAGCTGTTGCTTCTAAAAGAATTTTACAAGCCTGGTGATGATATACAAGAAATTATACATCTCACAACAAGACCATGGTAACAAAACATTAATACTGGGACAAGTTCTAATAAGGTAGGAGGGTGGTTTTGGGGGGTAAGTATGGGCCATGTGTGTAGATATCTTTTTTTTTTTTTTTTGTCGTGTGCTATGGAAGACCACATTTGCTGGAAACCACACCAAAAATGTGGCATGCAGTTTTAAATACACCATGTTGCAACTATGATTTGAGCTTTGAATAATAACAATGAAAAATTGCTGCGCTACATCTAAAAATGCACACACCTCTGAAATATATAAGCAAAGATTGGTGATAGCAAAAAGCAAAAAACAAAAAATTACACCAAAAAAAAAACAATTATATAGTCCCCCCCAAAAAAATATGAACAATATATCAAAAAAATAAACATGCTATATCACAGTCCAAAGGTTTGTGTTCTCCCGTGAACCCTCCTTGGGATAACGACCGCCGTGTGAATCTGTTAAGGAATTCCAGTGTAAAACATCCTCCACCATATATCTGCTCAACTCCAGCAGTGTGACCTCACCTTATACAATGTTTTGGTGTGACTGCGGTTTTGGTCCCAAATGTGTGGACTCTGAAGATCAAATAGCTGAATAATAGCTCCAAAGGATGCTCCCTTCAGATAACCGCCTCAGGCTCAGCTGTGCTCCTCATTAAACAAAAACTCACAATTGTGCCTTACCCTTTAAAACTTTTATTGCACATTAAAATATAAGAAATGCACTCACGTTGCAAAGGTCCATATCTGCACCATGTATGGTGAACATCCAGTAATGTACTAATTAGGCACAAGATGGCAGTATCATTCCCAGCAGTATAAAATTAGCCCAGGCTCCAAAGGGGTCACTATCCGAAGTGTATTTACAAGGCAATGCACACATCATCCCCTTGATAAAATCATGTGGTCTCTGGCGAAACGCGTTGGGTAGAAGCGTGCGGATGACGTCACGTTGCCATTCATTGAAATAGCAGTAGTAGTTTTCCACACATCGCTCCAGGACTGTCATATCTGCAGGCAATTGCAGTTATATTTAGGGCCCGTGCTTTGCCTTGCAAATACACTTAGTAAATGGTTTATCTCAACACTCTAGCTGCTACATTTGCAAGAGAGTTTGTTCTGTTGAAAAACAGTCTTACTGGCCAGATCAACAAATGAAAAGACAGCCAAAAAAGAACTAGTGCAGCCATCACATGTAAGAATTGGTAAGCAGCAATATAATAAATGTTTTGCTTTTGGGTTTAATACAGCTTTAAACTAATTATAGTGCATGTAACTGGTAGAAGCTGATATTCTGCAGTTCAGGAAATGCCCTCAATTCCCACAATAGACCTGTGATTTACAAAGAACCTTGTCATGTCATGTGTTCTTCCTGAATCAATCAGCAACCATATTCAAGTGTTTTAAATTACATTTGGTTCTTTATACCAGATGAAGAAAACAAAAGGTGAATCTTTAATGGCTTAAATGTGTTCACTTGTAAATTGAAACTATATGTCAGTGGAGGATGTGGGACAAGGAAGTCTCATATTACTGCTTGTGCAGTCTATGGAGTATACCTGCTAGCATACAAAGACAGGTGTCTTAGTGTCATGATTATTTTAAATAGATATTTCAAAGTATTTTTTGCTGTTTTTCTTTTTTTTATGTAATATTTTTGTGGTTTTCATTCTGCTTTCATCTATAATGCAATCAGCAACATTGCTGAATAACTGCTGAGAGAAAATCTTTTATTAAAGTGCACGTTATGATGTTAACTTATTTAAACTGCAGTTGGAGATGATGAAATGCTGGTACCTCACACCCACATATGTAAACAATGTTCGCACACCACACATGTGAGGTATTGCCGCAAACCTTATAGCGATACAAGAGCAATAATTCTAGCACTAGACATCCTCTGGAAATCTAAACTGGTAACCCGTAAACATTTTTAAAATGTTCCCTATGGAGATCTTTAAGTACTGTAGTTTGGCGCCATTCCATGAGCGTGCATAATTTTAAAGTATAACATGTTAGGTATCTATTTACTCAGAGTAACATCGTCTTCCATATTTAAAAAAATGAGTTACCGTATTTGCTGGCGTATAAGACGACTGGGCGTATAAGACGACCCTCTACTTTTCCTGCTAAAATGTAGTGTTTGGGCTATACTCGCCGTATAAGACTACCTCTCTTCCAATGCACACCAGTGGGAGGAATAGTGCCCCATCATTGGTATCAGTGGCAGGAATAGTGCCCCATCATTGGTATCAGTGGCAGGAATAGTGCCCCATCATTGGTATCGGTGGCAGGAATAGTACCCCATCATTGGCATTAGTGGCAGGAATAGTGCCCCATCATTAGTATCAGTAGTGTGCCCCATCATTAGTATCAGTGGGGGAATAGTGCCCCATCATTGGTATCAGTGGGAGGAATAATGCCCCATCATTGGTATCAGTGGCAGGAATAGTGCCCCATCATTAGTATCAGTGGGGGGAATAGTGCCCCATCATTGGTATCAGTGGCAGGAATAGTGCCCCATTGGTATCGGTGGCAGGAATAGTACCCCATTGGTATCGGTGGCAGGAATAGTACCCCATCATTGGCATTAGTGGCAGGAATAGTGCCCCATCATTAGTATCAGTAGGGGGGAATAATGCCCCATCATTGGTATCAGTGGGAGGAATAATGCCCCATCATTGGTATCAGTGGCAGGAATAGTGCCCCATCATTAGTATCAGTGGGGGGAATAGTGCCCCATCATTGGTATCAGTGGCAGGAATAGTGCCCCATCATTGGTATCAGTGGGAGGAATAGTGCCCCATCATTGGTATCAGTGGCAGGAAATAGTGCCCCATCATTAGTATCAGTAGGGGGGAATAGTGCCCCATCATTGGTGTCAGTGGGAGGAATAGTGTCCCATCATTGGTGTCAGTGGAGGGTGGAATAGTGCCCCATCATTGGTGTCAGTGGGAGGAATGGTGTCCCATCATTGGTGTTAGTGGAGGGTGGAATAGTGCCCCATCATTGGTGTCAGTGGGGGGTGGAATAGTGCCCCATCATTGGTGTCAGTGGGGGTGGAAAGTGCCCCATAATGGTGTCAGTGGGGGGTGGAATAGTGCCCCATCATTGGTGTCAGTGGGGGGGGGGAATAGTGCCCCATCGTTGGTGTCAGAGGGGGGGGGGGGGGGGGGGGGGAATAGTGCCCCATCGTTGGTGTCAGTGGGGGGGGGGGGAGAATAGTGCCCCATCGTTGGTGTCAGTGGGAGGAATAGTGCCCCATCATTGGTATCAGTGGGAGTAATAGTGCTCCATCATTGGTATCAGTGACACCAATGATGGGGCACTATTCTTCCCACTGACACTTGCTGACCCTGTTCTCGTATGGTGCTGCTGCAGCCAGCATATGTTGTTGCAGCAGCACCTCTACACTGACCACTTACCTGCTGGTCCTGCACTCGATTTTCGCGGGGCCGCTCGGCTCCCCCCTCGGCTCCGCCCCTCGCCAGTGATTGGCCGCCTGTGTGCCTTTCCTGAGCTACAGTTCTGGCGGCCAATCACCAGTGAGGAGGCGGAGCCGAGCAGCCGCGCGAACATCCAGTGGCTGAACTGAAGGAGCAGCCGCGCTTCCTGGACCGGATCGTCGTGGGACCGGAACCAGGTAAGAAACAGCCCCTGCCCACCCCTGTACTTAGTGTCCCTTCCGTTGGAAGGGGGGGCGGCGGCGGCACCGCGCCGCCCCCCTAAAAAGTGTCAGTATGCCGTATACCGGCGTATAAGACGACCCCCAACTTTTGAGAAGATTTTCAAGGGGTAAAAAGTCGTCTTATACGCCGGCAAATACGTGATATTGTGTGTTTTTTAACAAATGAAAGTATATTATTTTCCCCAAAACATTGCATTTGAAAAACTGCTGCACAAATACAGCGTGATAGAAAAAATTGCAATGGCCATCTTTTTATTCTCTAGGGCCTCTGCTAAAGTATATAATGTTTGTGGATTCTAAGTCATTTCTAGCAAAAAAAAATACTTATCTTTAAGTGGTCAAGTCTTGAGTTTCCCCTCTTTGAAGTTGGAATATGCATAATGCATGCCCAGGGTTACAGGGCCCAATTGGTATTTGAGAAGAGATGTGGATGCATGTCCCCAAAAATATTTTTATGGTAAAAATCCAATAACCAAGCTATGCACATGGAGTTGCATTGAATGCGAGGAACAGGAAATTACAGTCTCCGTGCTTTATTTCTGAACACATTTTGTTCTAAGTAGTAAGCTTGACTGCCCTCATATTTATAACTACACATAGAAACACAGCACTTAGCACAATAACATATTGATACAAGTATTTCCATAAGCTGACTACATTCACATGTATATATAAATACTTTTAAAAAGACTATAAATTTGCTTTTATCACAATTTGAAGAGCCAGTGTTGCAGATAATTATTTTATGCTTGAAATTAAATATCTCATTTATTTATTTTATCATTTGAAGGTCAATGGATTTCAATTATCTTCCCTCTGTTGATCCAGAAACTGTTCTACAAACAGGTATGATATGTTTCATTCTTTGTTTGAGAAGTAACATAGTTTGCCTTTGTAAGCTAGTGAGGCATTTCTGAGTAACAAATGATACTGAGCCTCGCATGAAAATAAAAACACCTACTCAAGTTTTGACGAAAATATTGTACCTTTTGGTGAAACGATATAAGGGATAAAATAAATACGGGACCTATTAAACCGCATAAAAGAATCTCAGCCTAGCTTCAGGCTAAGAGGTTTATTTGCATCAGCTATGTAGGCATCAATGCACTTAAAAGCACGGCTTCATTAGAAGAAAACTGATACACAGGTAGGAATTTCATAAGCAAGAAACCAACAAAATTGGTTGCCTATCTAGTACAAATTCAGCAGCCCTTCACTTTGCAAGGGATTTGTAATGGCTTTTGTGTGTAATTGTGTTCCTTCAGTGTGGGGCTGCTGTCTGTCATTGTTTTGCAACCATTCACCTCTGAGTTATCATTTTATTTTTATCAGTTTACTTAAATCAGATGTACACCTGGAAAGTGGTCAAGGGCATGTTTTATATTGGTACAGTGCTGCTTTTGATCAGCAGAAGGTGTAATTTACTTATCAAGCAGCTTCCTTCTAGAATAACTGTATTATAATCTGCCTTACTGCTCCTGTTAGCATTGCTTTGGCGTGGGGAACCATAGATTGAATTTCTGTAAATTTTTAAAAAGTTAGCATTACCAGACAAGCATCTAACGTTTGCTGACAAATACTAGAAGATTGGATGTGAAGCACTAAGGAACATAAAAAAGAAAGTCACTTTGAAGTGGTAGAACATTGTTTCCCAGCAGCTAAGCCTTGATTTCACGCTAGGGTTTAAGTTAAAATCTCTTCCCATTTGGAGATGCTTAAAGTAAACGTGAATGACCATACATTAACTAGAAAATCTTTCACTGCTGGAAATTGAACTTCACACCCTTGCTGAGAGAATCAATATTCCATTTAAGAAAGTCTTTCCACTACTTTTTTTTTTTTCTAATGCACTTTCCTCGTTAAAGTACTTGTGCAAAACATCAATATAAATATGGTTTTGAGCCATAAATGTCAGGATATAGATTTAAGTGCCGGTTTAAATTGTGTAGGATTTGAGGATGAGGTCTAAATAAAGATCTATATAATATAGTAGGTTCAGATTCAGGAGGGGGCAGTAGTTTCTGTTTGAAGCTAAGATCAAAAATAAGGAGACATAACCTCAAGTTAGGAGGAGTAAGGTTCTAAAGTGACTGTGGAAAGTATGAGGTGTGACAATTTTGAATTCCTGGAATGGACTGTAAAAAAAATATCAAACACCTCTGCATTTTCCAAAAAGATCAGATGAAATTTGAAGATGACATTCTTTCTGATCTTCTATCAAGATTCAAGGCACCATCTTTGCAGAAATTTTTCTCATTCCTAAATCCTCCATTGGCATCTGCCGAACTGTTTCCCTGTTTATTTCTTCTGCCATCATTCGCACACTCAGTCTTTGTTCTGAGCATACGAGGCTTCGCTCTCTGTCCATATTTGCATCTGTCCATTTTTGGCTGCCCACTTCTTATGTCATTGAGGACATCTTCCTGCCAATCCTTAAACCACCTATGCCATTCAAAAATACTTGATTTCTTCATAGACTGTTCACCATAAGCCTGTTTTCACTTGCATGTTTGGCAATTTTCATGCTAAATTTGATGTTAATCCTCCAGATTCCTGTCACTCATTTTCCGCTAACAGCGTAATGCACACGTGTTATTTCTTCTACTACTCCATAAAGACTGAGTCACCTGGTCTGCGACCCAGGCGAGTACAACATGGAATGTGTCAGGACACGCTAGAGTGCGAATAGCTGTGTGCCTCACCGCCGAAGTGCTATGCCATGGGCATTCCGGGAATTGAATTGTCACACCTCGTATTATTTTTCCGAAACAGTAGTTGAAGCTTCAGCCTGGGTTCACACTGATACGGTGCAGAATTTGCAGCGTTTTCTGTGCGAATTCCGCACCACATCAGAATCGTACCCCGTTCATGCGAACTGCTGCGGGTGTGTATGTTAAGTTAACAACACCCCGAAATCAGTCCACAAAACGCGGTGCGATGTGCAGAATCGGATTGCATAGATGTGAATACTCATGCAATCCGATGCTAGTGCGGACCCAAAAAGGGTCCTGCACCTTTTTGGTGCAGATGTGGTGCGATTTGAGCCATACATAATGTATGGCTCAAATCACACCGCACACAATTCGCATGTAATTTGCACAGGAATGCAGTGCGGTTCCTGTGCGAATCACATATGATGTACCGCACCGCACGAGTGTGAACCTAGCTTAAATCACTTCAATTTCAAATCTAAGAAACAGTTTCTGCATGTATTATGTATACCATAGAAGAGTATAAACACAAAAGTGGTTTAGTGAGTGCATATACTCCACATATAGAAGTAAGGTGGAGCCACTATAGTTTGGCAGTTATTTTGAGCAGCACAACACTAACATTTACAACAATTTTTTTTTTTTATGTGGGAACATATAACAGTGTTTGCTGAAGCTCATGAGAAGACAAAGTATATATTGGCAATGCAGGAGTATTTTTCTGTTTTCAATGTTTGGGACAAACAGATCTATACAAAAAATTAAAAAAAAAAAAGTGTCTTAAAAAAAAAAAAAAGACTGTACTGGTAGACTGCTGCCAAAGCTGATGTCTGCTTTTGAAAATGTTGGCTTCCCGGCTGTCATGCTGATTCATTAGTGCTGATACTTTACAAATCACTGTTCTATGAAACACAGGAGTACAGGTGAAACTCGAAAAATTAGAATATCGTGCAAAAGTTCATTTATTTCAGTAATGCAACTTAAAAGGTGAAACTAATATATGAGACTCATTACATGCAAAGCAAGATAGTTCAAGCCGTGATTTGTCATAACTGTGATGATTATGGCTTACAGCTCATGAAAACCCCAAATCCACAATCTCAGAAAATTAGAATATTACATGCAATCAAAAAAAAAGGATTGTACATAGAACAATATCGGACCTCTGAAAAGTATAAGCATGCATATGTACTCATTACTTGGTTTGGGCCCCTTTTGCAGAAATTACTGCCTCAATGCGGCATGGCATGGAAGCCTGTGGCACTGCTGAGGTGTTATGGAAGACCAGGATGCTTCAATAGCAGCCTTCAGCTCTTCTGCATTGTTCGGTCTCCTGTCTCTCATCTTTCTCTTGGCAATGCCCCATAAATTCTCTATGGGGTTCAGGTCAGGCGAGTTTGCTGGCCAATCAAGCACAGTAATCTCACGGTCATTGAACCAGGTTTCGGTGCTTCTGGCAGTGTGGGTAGGTGCCAAGTCCTGCTGGAAAATGAAGTCAGTATCCCCATAAAGCTCGTCTGCGGAAGGAAGCATGAAGTGCTCCAAAATCTCCTGGTAGACGGCTACGTTGACCCTGGACTTAATGAAGCACAGTGGACCAACACCAGCAGATGACATGGCTCCCCAAATCAACACAGACTCTGGAAACTTCACAGTGGACTTCAAGCATCTTGCAGTGTGTGCCTCTCCATTCTTCCTCCATACTCCGGGTCCTTGGTTTCCAAATAAGATGCAAAAGTTGCTCTCATCAGAAAAGAGGACTTTAGACTACTGAGCAACAGGTCTGTTTTTCTTTAGCCCAGGTAAGACGCTTCTGACGTTGTTTGTTGTTCAGGAGCAGCTTGACAAGAGGAATACAACATTTGAAGCCCATGTCCAGGATCCGTCTGTGTGCGGTGGCTCTTGATGCACTGACTCCAGCCTCAGTCCACTCCTTGTGAAAGTCCCCAACACTTTTTAATGGCCTTTTCCTGACTATCCTCTCCAGGCTGCGGTCATCCTGCTGCTTGTGCACCTTTTTCTTCCACACTTTTCCCTTCCACATAACTTTCTATTAATGTGCTTTGATACAGCACTTTGGGAACATCCAACTTCTTTTGCAATTACCTTTTGAGGCTTTCCCTCCTTCTGGAGGGTGTCAATGATGGTTTTCTGCACAACTGTCAGGTCAGCAGTCTTTCCCATGATTGTTATTCCTACTGAACCAGACTGAGAGACCATTTAAAGTCTCAGGAACCCTTTGTAGGTGTTATGGCTTAATAAGCTGATTACAGTAGGACACTTTGAGCCTAGAATATTGCACCTTTTCACAATATTGTAATTTTCTGAGATTGTGGATTTGGGGTTTTCATGAGCTGTAAACCATAATCATCACAATTATGACAAATCACAGCTTGAACTATCTTGCTTTGCATGTATTGAGTCTATCTCATATATTAGTTTCACCTCTTAAGTTGCATTACTGAAATAAATTAACTTTTGCACGATATTCTAATTTTTCGAGTTTCCCCTGTATATTCTTAACTTGCTGCATACATTTTACAAAGCAAAAAAAAATGTGTATATATATTTAAAAAAAAAAAGTCTACCCTTTTACGTGTATACATTGTTACATAAATCATGACATACAACATCTAGAGCGATAATTGGTTTGAAATTTATAAGCGGAGAGCACTGGAGATGATTGTTGGTCACTGAAATTAATAAGGGATCTGTTTAATTAATTCAGGAAATAATCATTTTGAAACGTCTTCTTCAATTCAGTGTGACCAGAAGGTCAGGAATGATTTTCATGGCCGATTAGGCATTTTACCTTAGAGAATGTTTCAGTAGCAGAAATAAAATGCTGTTCTTTTTAGCTTCATAGAGGTGATATGTGTTTAAAACTGATATAACACTGCAAAGTTTGCTCCTTTGCTGTACAGAACTTGCATGATCTTCTGTTTATGGTGTTCTGATGATATCATCCAATAGATAACAAGCGTATCAGCTGGCTGACAAATCGTCCTGCCACTGATGCCCCCTTTATATTTAGGTCCTCTGAAGTGTAGAGACTGCCTGCAAATCCAGTTTGATTTTCTTAGTGAGGCATATCGTGTACTTCCAGACCAGCCAGGCAAGCCCAGAATTTATTTCCACTTGAAACGCTTCTTTGAGTCTCTCACACTGAGTGTAACGTCTCAGTGCACTGTGTTCTCCCTTTAGAATGCTCCTAGTCACGCCTCAGTGATCTTAGGGATATTCACTCTATTAGAGCTCTTAGCATTTGATTCATAATCCATGATTTAAATCTGTATCTTTAGGAAATGTTTTTATGCTTCTAATAAACCACACTGAAATGCACATTTCTAAAGTTCTTTAATTGTAATATACTCAAATAGGATTTAAAAGCTTGTTTATGAAGGCTGGAGGGTACGTAAAGGGAGGTTATTGCCTAAAATACGATGCAGTGTCCAGCAAATTTGTATTTAGCTGAAGATAAAAATGTGAGCTGGCAAGTAATTGGCTGCTATGAACTGCTCGCAAGTTGCTTTGAGGCTTTTGGAGCATTCTGAGATGACAGCTTTTTGGTTTCCAAAAAGGAGACATAGCTGTATTTTTGTTAAAGAAAGGCAAAAAAAATAAAAGTACCCGTTCATTGGAAAATTGTTTTTGAATATCAATTGCTTATTGATGTTGTTTTACATTCTTTTTCTAAATGCGGACATCACCTTTAAGCTAGGTTAAAGCAGTATGGCTGCTGCTGATGCTTTGCGCTTAGACTGCATTTTAGTAGTTAGTATATTTTATTGCTGTTTAATTTTTCTTCGCAGATTTATTTGATGTCTTTGACATGTTTGGCTTAATATTATTAAAATAGCATGAAGGAAATATCCTTTTTTTAATGACAGGTATTCTCATATCATGTTCATTACAAATTCAAAAAAAAGGGAGTTTATTTTTTACTGTAGGATAGTGAATGGAGATATACAAATCATCCTTTCAATGCCCCTCTGGTTAGTTGTGCATCCAGAAACTACTGATTTATAGTACATAGACAGCTTATATGCAGAGCCTTTTATTCATCTTCATGCAGCTAGTTAAATGATGTATATATAAATATATATATATCTCCTAGATTGTAAGCTCTAACGAACAGGGCCCTCTGTTTCCTTGTGTACCAAATTTTATTGTAACTGTAATGTCTACCTTCATTTTGTAAAGCGCTGCGCAAACTGTTGGCGCAATATAAATCCTGTATAATAATAATATATATAAATACATCAGTGGTTCATATAGTGAACTCGGTGTAGAGCTATTCACCCTGAGGTCATCACAGAGGACAAGGGGGCACTCTTTATGTCTGGAGAAAAAGAAATGTAATCTCCAAACACGGAAAGGTTTCTTCACAGTGAGAGCTGTGAAAATGTGGAATAGACTCCCTCAAGAGTTGGTTCTGGCCAGATCAGTGGATTGCTTTAAAAAAAGGCCTGGATTCTTTCTTAGATATCTTAGATACACAGAATATAACTGGTTACTAACATTTATAGGTAAAGTTGATCCAGGGAATAATTATTATAATCGATTGCCTCTCGGGGGATCAGGAAGGAGAGCAAATTAGATCATGCTTTGCAGGGGGGGGGGGGGGGGGTTGTCTTCCTCTGGTTCAACTTTTATTTTCTTCTTTTTTTTTTTTTTTTAATGGTTGATTTGGATGGACTTTTGTCTTTTTTCAGCCAGACTAACTACCGGTATGTAACTATGTAGTTTTAGTTGGTTTGGTCTCTTCAGTGCTGAATGTGGAACGTTTATCATGAGAGACTAACAGAAATCTGTAAGCCCTGAATTTGAATACAGTACTGTACAAACAGTCTATAGTGGTTGTTCGTTCTAACCACATGAAAAACTAGAAATGTGTTTCTGTGCATTCGAAAATGTATTTAATTATGATCTATATAACATTGTATTGACTTTTTGCTCTTTAGGTCACGAGTTGCTTTCTGAACTCCTCCAGCAGCGGCGGTTCAATGGGTCAGAGGGAGGCGTTTCATGGTCTCCAATGGATGATGAGCTTTTGGCTCAACCTCAGGTTGTCAAACTTCTCGATTCCCTGCGAGAGCAATACACTCGTTACCAGGAGGTGTGCAGGCAGCGCAGTAAGCGCACACAGCTTGATGAGATCCAGCAAAAGGTTATGCAGGTAAGAAGAGGTGATTCTGTGTCAGCTGTAAATGCATGCTGTTACATTTCTGGCTTTCTGCAAGACAGCAAGTAACACTATATATTTTTTTTGAGCTAAGAATCCAATATTTTTTTTCTTAGGCTCTATTCATCCTTGTGCACGCAAGTTTTTGTACATGTAACATGCGGGCAATGCATGTTGTGGTGCTCTTTTGCATCTTCATACAAATATTAGTACAGCAGAGTACATGCAAAAAGAAACACATGCGTTGCATTTTGGTACCCTGGAAAATACTGAAAATGCATTTTTGGTCCATGGATACAGCAGGACAGTCCTCTGAAAATGAATATGTTTAACCAACATATGAGTACACCCTCACCTTGTAAAACAATCCAGTTTAAAATAGAAATGAAAGACAAAACATTTGTGTACAAGTATTAAAAAAAAAACACTATAAATACTTCTTTTTTCCCTGTATTATTTTATAAGTTGTCACATACCCTCTGATCTCAGCTGCATAAGAGCTGGGGAAGGAGAAACAGCAGCACATTGATCCTCCCAGTGAAAGGCTGTGCAGGGGTCCTGTGTGTCAGGACAAGTCTGATCATTGGAGGAGAGCACACTGAGTTTCCAGCACAGCTAGAGAACTGACCACGGTGTGCTCTCCTGCATAGCATGGTCAGTTTTTAATAGGGAAGCAGAGGAACTGGCAGGGACACCAGGGATTTCACACAAAAAAAAACAATACAAAGAGAACAGGAAACTTCTCTATACAAGTACATGGTACAGCAAACACATATCAAGAACATGACATGTTGGGTTTACATACCGTATTTGCCAGCGTATAAGACGACTTTTTGACCCTTGAAAATCTTCTCAAAAGTCGGGGGTCGTCTTATACGCCGGTACACATGTTAGGGGGGCTGCGGCATTAAGTACAGGGGTTTGCAGGGGCTGATGTCTCTTACCTGGATCCAGTCCCACGACGATCCGGTCCAGGAAGCGCGGCGTCTCCTTCAGTTCGGCCACTGGATGTTCGTGCGGCTGCTCGGCTCCGCCTCCTCACCGGTGATTGGCCGCCAGAACTGTAGCTCAGGAAAGGCACACAGGCGGCCAATCACCGGCGAGGGGGCGGAGCCGAGCGGCCCCCGCGAAAATTGAGTGCCGGAGCAGCAGGTAAGTGTTCTGTGTAGAGGTGCTGCTGCAACCACATATGCTGGCTGCAGCAGCACCATACGAGAACAGGGTCAGCAAGTCTCAGTGGGAGGAATAGTGCCCCATCATTGGTGTCACTGATACCAATGATGGGGCACTATTCCTCCCACTGATACCAACGATGGGGCACTATTCCTCCCCCCCACTGACACCAACGATGGGGCACTATTCCTCCCCCCCCCACTGACACCAACGATGGGGCACTATTCCCCCCCCCCCACTGACACCAACGATGGGGCACTATTCCACCCCCCCCCACTGACACCAATGATGGGGCACTATTCCACCCTTCACTGACACCAATGATGGGACACCATTCCTCCCACTGACACCAATGATGGGGCACTATTCCTGCCACTGATACCAATGATGGGGCACTATTCCTGCCACTGATACCAATGATGGGGCACCATTCCTGCCACTGATACCAATGATGGGGCACTATTCCTCCCACTGACACCAATGATGGGGCACTATTCCTCCCACTGACATCAATGATGGGGCACTATTCCTCCCACTGGTGTGCATTGGAAGAGGGGTAGTCTTATACGGCGAGTATAGCCCAAACACTACATTTTAGCAGGAAAAGTAGGGGGGTCGTCTTATACGCCCAGTCGTCTTATACGCCGGCAAATACGGTACTCTTTAAAGAAATAGTTCACTTTTACCAAAAAACTGCCTTTGCAGATGAGGGTGTCTGTAGATAAAAACAAACTGCAGCTCTAACTAAAGTTGAAAAATACCCTTGCTATATGTGTAATCCATTTACATAACTCATGAAGCCTGACTGGAATACTTCCAGGATGTTGCTAAGTGAGGCCTAGTCATTACTGCTCACCTCCTCCATCACAGGAGTGAGCTCTCAGATGCTGAGATAAGAGCTACCGCATCAAGGGGGAGAGAGAGCACGTGAAGGGGTCTGAATCGGAGAAAAAGCTCTTAAACTTAGCAATGTCTTCAGAGTATTCCAGTCAGGCTTCATGAAGTATGTAAATGGCCTACACCTAGGACATTATTCAACTTTGGTCAGAGACACACAGTTTGTTTTTATCTTTTGTCCACAGACACCCTTACCTGCATAGGCAGTTCTTTGATGAAGGTGAACTATGCCTTTAAGGTTTGGATAGAATGGGAGAGGGTTCATTTCTGTTGGCTGTGTAGACTGAAACATGTTTGCTCTGTATATGACTTCATCCTGCCCAGAATCCTAACTAGCTGACTAGTTAACCCGGCCACTACTGATAAAAAGCAAAAAATTAACTACACATTCCAATGGAAAGTTCATGCCCCAACATTAGATGTGTATACAGACTTTCTACTTTTTGAGTGGAAACCATGGCATGCATACTTGTGAGGGGCTGGACCCAACAGTGAGGAATTTTATGAGGAAGCTGTGCTGCACTGATTGGGCTGTACAGTGCAAATCTTGGTGTAGCCTGAAGAAGACTTTAATGCCTTGATTATAATACGTTCAGCATGTATAAGAGCAGTGTGTAGAGCCAGCGTTTACAATGCATTTACAGAACTTTAAGCCAGCTGAAAGCAGCCTTGTTGAAGCCTTCCAAGCACCCTTCACCTCCACTTCAGGGAGGTTCAAGAGAGGCAGTGAAGACTGCTACAGAGCAAGCTTCAGTAAACTTTATCACTACTTGATGTTTGGTGAACGCCTGCTAGCTGTCTAATGCTGAACTCCAGGTTTGACTTAACTTCAAATTTGATTTAACATTAAAACCAAGCTGGGTCAAACTAACTACTTCACTAATACATGTACCCACTCAGAGTAGCTGTCTGAGCTGTATGTAGCATTAGCTACATACAGTATACAGCGCTGTATTTCAACAGTACAGGGATTTCCGTCCCATTCCCACAACAAAATTTTGTTGGCCTGAGTGCTACTCAGCCATTCACAGAAAGCTTTGTGTTTTATGAATCAATACAATGCTTCTTCTGATTGGCTGAGGTGGAGATTATGACGTCATCTACCCCACTTTCATTCGCACCAAAAAAGAGGAAGCTTTATGTTCATTTATAAAAAAATACAAGGCTTCCTGAGACCTGCTCAGTAGCGCTGAGCTTTACTCAAATTTGTTTCATCAACACAGAGCTGTATAGTGTATTTATCTGATGCTACATACAGTTTATACATGACTCCTGGCTGGAGCTCATATTGGTGACAGAAATGGTTAGTTTAGACCAGCTTGTTCCAAACAAAGTAAAGTTAAATCAAACATGGAGTTCAGCTTTAAAGTAACAGTCATCACTTTTCTAAGGATCTCAGTTTAACCCCCCTATATTGGAGCTGTAAGGCGCTTGAAGCTTGTGGAAAGTCTTGCAAATAATTTGTAAAGGTTTGCTGTACACGGTGCTCTTTCACATACTGAAGGCTATATATGCAAGGCCTAAAAGTGCTTTTACCCAGGCTGTCATTGATGTCTTGGTTACTTCTGTAAATTATGGTTTTCACACCCCCGTTATTTATAGTGTTATTAAACACACAACAGTAAAATCAGTCTGTATATGCAGTAAAGCATGCTTGTTACACTAACTGTGGAACCTAAGGGGTTAATCCTCCCAATTGTGTAAAAAGGATGTTTGATCCTGGCTTATCTGATCCTACCCTTCTACTACTGTCCCAAATCCATCTGCTAATAGAACAAAGCTTTGGCGGCAAGCTACACTTGCTAAGTTTGGTGCGTGTTGCTTGAGTTTTTTTTTTCTTGAGAGCGTGCCTGTGATCAGCACAGGACCAATCAGCACTGTCCAGACAAAGGGTCAGGGGTTATGCAGCCTCTTAGGACAATCAGGAGAGAATTAAAACTCCTCCTAAAAGCTTTAACCAGTGCTTTGCTGAACACAGATTAAAGTCACAAGAATGCTCTAACTGCTGATGAGAAAAAGGTATTTAGCAGTTTATATTTACTACAATAATTGCCTTTCCATGTCCTGTGTACTGTGGGAGACCAGATGTAGTGAATGCAGGGTCCTGCGTTTAGGAACATCTTAAGTATTTTTCTTCCAACAGGATTTAACTTTATATTTTGTTGTGTTTAAGTTTCCAATCCTGACTGGTAGTTTTCAAGAACGTTGTCTTACATCAATAATTGTATAACTTTATACACTGCTCAAAAGAATTAAAGCAACACTTTTTAATCAGAGTATAGCATCAAGTCAATTAAACTCCTGAGATATTGATCTGGTCAGTTAAGTATCAGAGGGGGTTGTTAATCAGTTTCAGCTGCTTTGGTGTTAATGCAATTAACAGCTGCACTAGATGGGCAAAAATGAGATGGCCCCCAAAATAGGAAGGCTTTAACAGGTGGAGGCCACTGGCATTTTTTTCCCTTCTTATCTTTTCTGACTGTTTATCACTAGTTTTTTGCATTTGGCTATGGTCAGTGTCACTACTGGTAGCATGAGGTGATACCTGGAACCTACAGAGGTTGCACAGGCAGTCCAACTCCTCCAGGATGGCACATCAGTATGTGCCGTTTCCAGAAGGTTTGCTGTGTCTCCCAGCACAGTCTCAAGAGCATGGAGGAGACTCCAGGAGACAGGTATTTACTATAGGAGAGCTGGACAAGGCCATAGAAGGTCCTTTACCCTTCTGCAGCACCGGTATCTGCTCCTTTGTGCAAGGAGGAACAGGATGAGCACTGCCAGAGCCCTACAAAATTACCTCCAGCAGGCCACTGGTGTGAATGTCTCTGACCAAACAATCAGAAAAAGACTTTGGGGGGGCCTGATGTCCCGTTGTGGGTCCTGTGCTCACTGCCTGGCACCATAGAGCTCAATTGGCATTTGCCATTGAACACCAGAATTGGCAGGTCCACCACTGGCACCCTGTGCTTTTCACAGATGAGAGCAGATCCACCCTGAGCACATGTTACAGACGTGAAAGGACCCGGAGAAGCTGTGGAGAATGTTATGCTGCCTGCAACATTGTTCAGCATGACCGTTTTGGTGGTGGGTCAGTGATGGTCTGGGGAGGCATATCCATGGAGGAACACATGGGATATCACGTTTCGGTCCATTCGACGCTGCCAGGTTGCACCTCAAAGTGTCCAGGAGCTCAGTGATGCCCTGGTCCAGATCTGGGAGTAAATACCCCAGGACATCATCTCATTAGGAGCATGCCCCGAAGTTCTCAGGCATGCATACAAGCACGTTGGGGCCATACAAACTACTGAGTACCATTTTGAGTTGCTGCAATGACACTTCAGCAAAATGGACTAGCCTGCTGCATCATTTTTTCACTTTGATTTTCGGGGTGTCTTTGAATTCAGTCCTCTGTAGGTTGTTAATTTGCATTTTCACCAAATGATGGGGCATCCTTATGTTCCTAACACATTACCCAGTCCATATCAGTATAGATATCCAGCATGATATTTTTCCCCATTGAGATCTGATGTGTTTTCAGAGTGTTCCTTTATTTTTTTTTGAGCAGTTTATATCTTGTCTAGCAAGCTTTGCAAATCACATGACACTTTATTTGCACAGAAGCAAATTCTTTTCATGTAATAATGTTACATCTGAAGACCGTTGCACTTGCGCTTATTTTGAGGGTTCATATCGGAGGACATAAATACTTATGCATTCAGTACATTTAAGTTTTTTATTAGCCTGCGAACCATTTAGATTTTCTTCCAGTTTAGCGTTATGCACTTGTGCAGGTCAATGACATGAAATTTCAATTCCAGGTTGTTACACTTTAAAACAACTTTTTTTCAACCGGGTCCCAGGCACCCTGGGGTGCCTTCAGGTTTCTTCAGAACTGCCTTGGCAAAAATGCCTACCAGTTGCCCAAAAAATTGTATACAAGCCAGTGGGTGGATGTAGCCTGCCTTTTAGTTACACAAAACTAGCTGCCAGTGTCCTAACAACCATTGACATAATCAATTGGTTAAAAGCATGTCAAGCGCCTGAAGAGCATCTTTGTTTGCCCCTCCGCTGCCCCTCTCTGTCAGCAGTAGGGTCATATTAGCTGAATGAGGGAGAGAAGAGAAACACTGGAATACTAGTCACTACCAGTGTGCAAAGGTGTGTTTGCTTTGCAAGAAGAAATTACCTCTAACACTGGGTGTCCTGTGTGTGTGGATGTTGCTGAGTTATGTAAAACTATTAATTTAGTTTTTTACATTTTAGAATGGGGTACCTCTTGAGATTTTGCATTGAATAAAAAAAAAAAAGGTTGAGAAACGCTGCTTTAAAATGTGGAAAAAGTCCAGTGGGGGGTAAATACTTGTGCAAAGCACTGTCTGTGTGATTGGTTGTCTTTCAGATGTAATTTTATAAAGGGGTAATCTGCACTCTGGGATATGTCGTTTGTAGTTCTAAGAAATGTCACTTGGTTAGGTTGTACTGACAGGGCTGCTTATCCTGGAAGTCTTAATCCAAGTCTGCATGCGTCAGAGGTACAGCAGAGTAACGTGAGTCTGCCATTGCCAAGTTAGCCACATGACATTGCTAGCAGCAGCAAATATATCTTCTTCAGCGTGGATTTAAATCTGTGTTAGTTCTCTCCTACTGTACTTGCGAAAGAAAAATACCTAGGTAAATCATCAATGCATGCAAGGGAAAGTGAGCTGAAAGTAAAATACACAGAAGCACTTTTGCCTTGCAAAATGTATACATTTTTTTAATAAAGTACCAACTCTACCCAAAATTTTTTCTTTCTAAGTGTTGTACTGCAACACAGGGTTTGATTTCTTGTCAGTATTTACTGCAGTTTGGGATACTAGCAGTGAATTAACCCTATTCCCCACCCTTTTCCCTATGCCTGTTCTCATCATGACAGATATGGGATTAGCAGAATAAACACTTGGGCCCCTTTCACATGGACGTAATCAGTTCAGTCGTGTTTTTCAAAGGAAAGACGGATTCAGTTTTCATCAGTTTTGCATGGATTATTACATCCATCCGCTGGCATCCTTAACAACCATGACTCATCCCTGGTGTCAGTAGGGGATCTCATGGCAAAAATCCCCCCCCCCCCCCCCCAGAAATTGGAGTGAGGTCCAAAAAAAAAATCCATGCTAGATTGTTATCCAAGCATTCAGCCCAGCTCCCCTTCCTGAACCATACCTGGCCCAGTGGAGATGCAGAGGATGACTTACCAGAATATTAAAAAGGGGGCCCTCAGATCCAGCTCCCCTTATTCCAATTGAATGAGTAAGGGGTACCCCTACTCATTCACAAAAATATGACAAGTGTAAATAGACAAGACAGTTTCTGACAAGTTATTTTATTTAAAAAAAAAATTCTCCTGATGTAGATCCATCGTCAATTTTATTGTCCAGCAATGTATGTCTATAAGACACGCAGAGCTCAGCCCCGCCCTGACCCCCTCCCCCCCGACCACCCACCCACCCATCCCCGCTCTCTCCTCATTGGTGATTGACAACTGCAGGAGTCAATGGATGAAGGTAGAAGACCTTCAGCCTTTAGAAGCACTTTAAGCAACTTTCATGCTTTGAATCACTTCATTCTGGGCAGTTCTTTGTGCCACTAGCAAGTTTTAGGGCTTTGAAATTCCACCCCGTTCAACTTAAGAGTACACATTAGCTAGTAAATGAAGAAAACATTTGGATTGGGCAACCCTAGTGGTATTAAGGTGTTGTTAATCCATGGAATTTTTTCATAGGTATACATTCTGATACCATATGTAGCTAGTTAATAGGCTTCCGGTTGCTTTTTTCATAGAGCAGCATGTGTTTTTTCTGGGCTTTTGTGTGAATATTAAATTATATAAGTGTTTCTCAAACTTTACACAAAGGGTCAGTTCACCATCCATCAGACTGTAGGGGGGCTGGTGGTCAGTGACGGTAAAAAAAATGCCATGTGCAGTGAGAGTAATATTGCCTTGTGAATGGAAGGAATTGTGCCTAGTCATCTGTGGCAGTGAGAATTGGAAATCCCCAAGGCATTGGTGTTTTTGGTTACTTACCATTGCTGCTCCAATGCCGGTCGAATGATGATGATGTCATGGCCAGAACTATGCTGTCACTGTTGGGCAAGGTTTTACTCGGTCTAATAGTGCCTAGGATAAATTGCTAAGTGCTGGAATGCTCTGCAATGAGGGTGCCGTGCTTTTTAGTTATCTAAAGGATAGTTACATTGTCCGAGAAGTCCATTGTCTGCATTACCCCATGGCATTAAATAATAGTGAACATAAATGGCATCCCAGGACACAAATGTTTGTCAGGAGCCTGGATTCAAGTGAAAGCACACTTAGGAGATCAATATGACATGCATTGTTGATTTTGCATGTTTTGAAATATTTAATATAGTTGGGATGAGGTGTACATTATCAATTGAAATTTTCAAAATCCCCATCCCCGGAAATAAAGAAAGAACTGTGTTGGTGGATATGACCAGATAATTGGATGCAATGTTCATTGTCTGTGGAAAATGAAAAATATTCCTTAAATGTTTATATTCTTTTATAGTTTGTTTGTCTCACTTTTATTAATGCAAACTTTCCTTTATACAGGTTGTAAACTGGCTGGAAGGACCTGGGTCAGAACAGCTGAGAACCCAGTGGGGAATTGGAGATTCCATAAGAGCATCTCAAGCCTTACAACAGAAGCACGAGGAGATTGAGAGTCAGCACAGTGTAGGTGGCTGTGTGCCATTGTTACTATATCACATATCTGCTGCTCATGTATGGTATGACAACCAATGCTTACTGCTATATTATAGGTGCATTCCAGTCATAATTAAAATGCACACCTTGAACTGTATATAGGGAGCACATCCTTCCTCTTCCAGAATTTAGTTTCTCATTCAGTGCTGAGTGTCTCCTTTTTTTTATCCCATGATATTTTGTTGGTAACCAGGGAAGCCTTTTGCTTATCAATTTGAAATGCAGCAGAAGTATTCCAAAACGCACACTCACAGAAGAGGCTTTGCTGCCTGTCACACATTATAACATTAAAACTGCACAGACTGTTCCAGAACTCTTGAAGGTCTGTGTTATATTTCGCTGCACTGAATTATGTTGTTGAAAGAAAATACTTGCTGAGAGAAATATAGAGGTTGCCATTGCTGACGTCTTAAACATGCTGATTGCCTGGCTGTCATGCTGAGCCTCTTCTTCTAAAGATGAAATTACATCTGTGTGTTGCAGTAATGTGCAGTAAAATGCAATGCTAATTAATGCACATTGTGTAGTGTGTTGTGGTGTAATTCATTCTGAAACCCAAACCCACTCTGCAAATGCATCCCAACACATCTGCATTTTAAAAATATAATGCACAGATGAAAATCCTCTTCACATTGTGGTGTGTTTAAAAAACAAAGTGGGGCTACTTGTACACGTTTTGAATGTGCATTGGCATCACATTTTAAATGAACAACATTAGGACCTGTGCCAATGGACTTTGGTTCATACCATGTGGGTTGAAGCAGCTCAAAAGGAAGTAAAATGAACCTGTCAAAGAATTCTTAGAATCTTAAAAAGAGAGAATATGCAAACTTGATACTTCAGCACCCAGAAATCATAGAGACACCCATTATAATTCTCAAAGATATACAGCAACCGGACTAGAAAGAGATGGCAGTGTAGCCATTCCCAGATCTGGAAAATACAGCACTGCACAAAACACAAACTGAGAGGGCACATTCTAAGCGTTTGCGCCCTCTCTGTTATTTTTTTTTTCAGAAGAATCTTAAACTCAAAGCCTGTCAAAACCGGTCCTAAGAGCTGAGCTTTAGATCTAAATCTTTCCATCCAAGCCAGTAGTTTTTTTTTAAGGTAAATTAAGGCACTGCACGTGGTACCCCCTTCAAATGATCATTTGTGAGAGTCACTAACAGGCACAGGTGAAGTACAGGCAGCAAGGATCAGTGGGGTAACTTCCATGGTGCACCATAGGTCAGCAGGATGTTGCATATATGTTAATTCTTATCTTCCCAAAAACCATATAACTGCCCTAATGGTGACAAATTTCTATAACCTGACACAACAAGGCATGAGATTTGTGCTTTTCGCATTGGAAAGTTGGATAATTTGGAGGCCTTGCCTTGGGGACAGGGTTTTTATATTGAAATTGTAAGGTGGTTGTTAGCAATAAACCTATATGTGGATGGCTACAATGATTTATTGATAAAATATTTTAAATGGATGTATTTAAATATGGTAACTTTTGTAACCTAGGTCCACAACTCATACACAGCAATCAGCAAGTGCATTATATGTGCAGCTCAGTGAGACAATGAGTAATCTTCTCTTATGAAGCTATTCCTATTGATTTCCACATGATGATCAGATGACCCTGAGTTCAAAAGAGAGTGCAAAATATAATCCTACTGAACTAATGATTTAGAATGGTTTCTGATATCAGGGATGGCAGTGGCACAAGATGATGTTTCTGAATGACACAGTTTATTCTTTACACTGTCTCATTCTGACAAACCACTCCATCCAATAAGTTTATTACTTGCCTGATCTTTAATACAGGAGTTTCACTGCCATCTACTCAGCAACTAAGACTCTCTTCAAAAGTAAAAGGAATGGCTTAAATAAAAACTGTAGTCTTTTCTGTATCTTTAGATGTATGTGAATGTGGTAAGCTTATCATAAATAATCCTATTGCTGTATTATGTTTTGTAAATGTTTTCTTTGTATAGTTTATTTAAATATGTAATTATATACAGTCATGGCCGAAATTGTTGGCACCCTTGATATTTTTTAGTCCTGAAAATCAAGTATTTCACACAAAAAAAGGTATTGCATTAACACATGTTTTGCTATACACATGTTTATTTTCCCTTTGTATGTATTGGAACAAATATAAAACAGAGGCAGAAAAGCAAATATGACATAATGTCACACAAAACCCCAAAAATGGGCTGGACAAAAGTATTGGCACCCTTAATATTAATTGTTGGTTGCACACCCTTTGGAAAACATAACTGAAATCAGTCGCTTCCTATAACCATCAATAAGCTTCTGACACCTCTCACCCGGAATTTTGGACCACTCTTCCTTTGCAAACCAGCTCCAGGTCTCTCTTATTGGAAGGACACCTTTTCCCAACAGCAATTTTAAGATCTCTCCACAGGTGTTCAATGGGATTTAGATCTGGGCTCATTGCTGGCCACTTCAGAACTCTCCAGCGCTTCTTTGCCATCCATTTCTGAGTGCTTTTTGACGTATGTTTGGGGTCATTGTCCTGCTGGAAGACCCAGGATCTTGGACGCAAACCCAGCTTTCTGACACTGGGCCCTACAGTGCGACCCAAAATCCTTTGGTAATCCTCAGATTTCATGATGCCTTGCACACAGTCAAGGCACCCAGTGCCAGAGGCAGCAAAACAACCCCAAAACATCATTGAACCTCCACCATATTTTACCGTAGGTACTCTGTGTTTTTTGTTCTTTGTAGGCCTCATTCCGTTTTCGGTAAACAGTAGAATGATGTGCTTTACCGAAAAGCTCTATCTTGGTCTCATCTGTCCACAAGACGTTTTCCCAGAAGGCTTTTGGCTTACTCAAGTACATTTTGGCAAACTGTAGTCTTGCTTTTTTATGTCTCTGTGTCAGCAGTGGGGTCCTCCTGGGTCTCCTGCCATAGCGTTTCATTTCATTTAAATGTCGACGGATAGTTCGCGCTGACACTGATGCTCCCTGAGCCTGCAGGACAGCTTGAATGTCTTTGGAACATGTTTGGGGCTGCTTATCCACCATCCGGACTATTCTGCGTTGCAATCTTTCATCAATTTTCCTCATCCGTCCACGACCAGGGAGATTAGCTACAGTGCCATGGGTTGCAAACTTCTTGATAATGTTGCGCACTGTGGACAAAGGCAAATCTAGTTCTCTGGACATGGACTTGTAACCTTGAGATTGTTGATATTTTGCCACAATTTTGGTTCTCAGGTCCTCAGACAGTTCTCGTCTCCTCTTTCTGTTGTCCATGCTTAGTGTGGCACAGACAGACACACAATGCAAAGGTTAAGTGAAACGTCTCTCCTTTTTATCTGCTTTCAGGTGTGATTTCTATATTGCCCACACCTGTTACTTGCCCCAGGTGAGTTTACAGGAGCAATCACATGCTTGTAAAAATATATTACTTATTTATCCGCAGTTGTGAAAGGGTGCCAATACTTTTGTCCAGCCCATTTTTGGAGGTTTGTGTGACATTATGTCGAATTTGCTTTCTTTCCTCCCCTTTTTTTGTTTTGTCCCAAAAACACACAAAGGGAATAAACATGTGTATAGCAAAACATGTGTTAATGCAATACGTTTCGTGAGAAATACATGATTTCCTGGAGAAATATCAAGGGTGCCAACAATTTCGGCCATGACTGTAATATATTATAATAGTATTATAATATTATAATAGTAAATTTATTTAGTCTGTTAAAATACTACCAAACGTAAAGATTCATTCGCAGCAGAGCGCAGTGTGGGAAACCCACATTCTGTACGTGTTTTCACACACCCTATTCATAATGCACTGGGTGTGCGATCTGCTGCTGGTGTCAATGTATTCCTAATGACACCCCAAACACAGCGTTTTGTCTGCCTAGATATTACATTGTAAAAAGTAGCAGTGTTTTCATCTCTGAACTGTGCATAGTCTGTGCAGAGAGTAGTGCTGTGGGAGGGGCCCAGCAGGCTGACGCAATACAGGAGGGGGTGGAGGCAAGACCAGTCACCCTGTTCAAGGAGAGAGAGCAGAAGTTGACCGGTCTTTGTAAGAACATGCTCATGCACAAGTTGACCGGTCTTTGTAACAACAAGCTCATGCACAGAGGTGAAAATGGGGGTATATGGTGCAAAAAGTGGCGTGTGTACACTGATGGTATAGTCCAAGTGGAGAGTCCAGGCCGACTTCCTGATGGCCTCATATACACTTGATGCAGCACCTTTGGAGAGACTGAAGTATATCTAAGTAGACAGATAAAGAGAACAGGAGGGTGAAATCTGAGTGTAGTATGTTAAGAATTTATTTTTGTGTGAAAGGTAAATGGCAACTCACATTTTGACAGTTAAAATCTGTCTTGTCAGTTAATTGGGGTCTCTGGTAGACAGCCTAAGCGCTGCAGGGTATCTCAAACCAGGGATGACACACTGGGTGGATAGATGGATATAACCTGTAGGGTGAGAACACACACTCACACCAGGGGGTGCCAAACTAGATGCAATATTATATGAAAATGGTGATTGCATGGAAATTGGCAACTCGCATGGAAATTGGCAACTCACATGGAAAGGGGAAAAAATAATGGCGCTTTAAGTAAATTCTCAGTAAGCGGTATGCTCATACATGTGGGGAGAGAAGCCTTGTCTGAAAACTTGCACCCTTTATGGTCCAGATATTAAGTCGTGTATGAAGGAAGCAGGAAGATGGTGGAGGGCTCCTGTGGAAGGAGGAGCAGACTGGAAGTGAGTCATTGTCATGTCAGGGTGGCAGAGCTATGTGTTTTGAGCCTCCCAAGCCTCTTTCTTAGCTCTGTACCCCTGACATGTCGATTATGCCAGTGATGCTTTGCATTCCACAGGTGCCCTCCACCATCTTCTTGTCATATACAGTATATTATGTGATATATGAAAGATCTACTAATAATAGAAACATACACGTTAATGAAAACTACTTTCACAGATAATTAGATGTGTGACATTTACATAACTGCTGTCCCGCTTTAATTGCAGTCTGCTGGCCTGTAATGTAGTATACTTTTTATTTGACAAAACAGCTGAAATTGCTACCGATGTGTTTTAAATCTGTGTCCAGCTTTTATAAAATATATTACAGTGGTTCTAACGGCACATTTTCTTTCAAATAAAAAACATGTTATACATACCGGTTCTGTGCAATTGTATTGAACAGATCAGCCCCTTATCTCCTCTTTTGGATTCCTCCACCAGCACTCTCTGCTCTCTCTTCTCCAAGTGCCCTCTCAGCAAGCCCTGTACTGAGGGGGCACACAACGTGGCTTGGCCATGGACCCCTTGCATGCGACTCTCCCCCTCACAGGATTTGACTGACAACAGTAGGAGCCTGTGGCTCCTGCTGCTGCCTGTGTCATCTGTTAGAAGAGGAACAGAGGGGAGTGAGGCTGTTGACGAACACAGTACTGGATCAAGAGAGCATTCATGTGTTTTGGGGTTGGAAGGAGGAAAAAGTAGTTGGATGGTTTTTTACCTTAGTGCAGGGAAAGTGTAAAGATAAAAGATGGTTTGACCTCAGAACCATTTTAAGTTGTCATGGACTCATCAAGATCTGTCCTTTTGCACAAACACTGTTGCAATATAGCCTGTCCATTGCCTTAGTTTTTATATATTGAATTAACTGATGCCATTTGTGTAGTTTGATTGTGCTAATTGTTCTAACATTGTTCATCTGCTGCCTTCTAGGAATGGTTTGCTGTGTATGTGGAACTGAACCAGCAGATTGCCGCACTCCTAAATGCTGGAGATGAGGAGGATCTGGTGGAGCTGAAGGGTTTGCAGCAACGACTCAGTGATGTCTGTTACAGGCAGGCCAGCCAGCTAGAATTTCGACAGAACCTTTTACAGACGGCACTAGAATTTCATGGTGTGGCCCAAGAGGTATTGATGTCCATATACTAAAAGTATAGATCTCTAGTATGTTACAGTATACAGTCATGACCAGTTGAATTTGTTTTCCAAGGATTTAAAGAAAAGTCTAGATGGGTCACTTAAATCCGGTTTGTATTTTGGTCCAATATAAAATGTATTTTTGGTTTTGCATAATAAATTTAACTCTCTTACTAATCTGAATGTAAACATATATTGACATGAACTCTGTCTATTATGTATGTACAGGATTTTGAAGTTTATTTCCAGGAAGTTCTAAAAAAAAACCACAACATTTGATCATCAAGAAAGCTTGACTATGCCAACCCTTTCCACCTAGCTTCTCCATTCATAGAAGCCATACTACAGCTTCTATGAATGGAGGACATGCAAATGATTGAAAGGTCCGCCCCCTCCATTCTTGTGCTTAATAGCCTTGTATCTGTTGAGGACTTTGTAAAGAAATGGTCCACTCCTTTTGTGGATATTGCAGTGTTCCGAAAGAGCAAGGCGCATACTACGATGGTTAAGGATGCACTTGGCTGTAAAGCTGAACTCCTGAAAATATGAAAGGATTAACTACTTGTTTGGGTCTAGGAGTTACAGAAAAAAAGATTTACTTACCTGATCCTCCATGGTTCTAGACTGGTTCCCACAATGTCTTCTCCCCCATGCTCCAGCGGTCTAAGGTCTTGACGTCATCAAGACTCACTGAACATGTTGAAGCAGAGAGTCAGCCACCGCCAGGGCGTAGGGAAGCGCCGTCTGCCAGAGGAGCGAAATATCTGGTAAATCTGCTTTTACTCTTCCCTAGAGTAAATGAGCAGATTACCCATTCGGTACGGGAGCAGCTGCACTACAAGGAAGAATTTTCAGATTTACTCCCTCAGCCTCCATGTTGAGATCCCCAAAGCTTGGCTACCCATCCACTTGCAGGTCCAGGCGCTCATAGTCTGCCAAACAAAGCTGCAAACAAAGCCTTCCTCTGCACAAAGGTGTGCACCCATTTTTGAGAGTGGGGAGACATCTTTTAACCTTTGCAGATGCTTAGACAGCCTGCATATCAGACACTTGAGTGCAGGAGGTGAAGTCACAGGGTTAAAAAGTGGAGTTTCCTGGCCCCCACCTCATTTCCAGGGGTTTTACTCCAAGCCGCTTACCATTCCCAACCTCTTAGGTGGCATTCATCCCATTCTGAATGTGTTAACATTCTGCATGGAATGTCCAGGCATGTAGGAATTGGTCAACTACTGAACTCTTTAATAAAGAATATGAAGTCCTCAAAAAAAGAGACACTCGGATAGAGGTTTCCCCCTTTTGCGTATAGAACTTGGCAGAAGGATTGCAGAAATGAGGTATAAATAAATATGAGGTCAGAAATTAGGTATAAATAAATAATCTATTGGGCAAGTCAAATATTCAAAAAGGACGAGAGGTTTTTTCCACATAAGAATATTAGAGATAATAGGCAAGAGACATTTGTTACCATGTTTTCAAAGGAGTATCAGCATATTGTAAACATCATTGAAAAGAATCTACCCATATTGTGTACAGACAAGGAATTGCAAGTAGTTTGGTATCATGCACAGGTTCTTATGCCTGTGGTACTAAAACATGCAGATATTGTAAGCGGAACTTGTGCACAAAGAGTTTTGAATCTTTGACCACAGGTAAATGTTTTGAAATTAGACATTAAATTAATTGTAGTTCAACCTATGTGGTATATTTGATATGCTGTACAGTATATCGCCTTCAGTATGTGGGCTGTACAATACGATGTTTAAAAATTCCTATTGAAGAACGTTTTTACAACTGATGAATTCACAAGCCAAACAAATATCAAGTGTTTCATGACATTTTAGAGAGGTGCATGAAGGGACACATCCTTTTTTCAATTTTGTGGAATAGAAAGAGTGTTTGTATTGCAAAAAGGAGGAAATAGACACCACAGATTAATTCAGAGAGAGGCTTGGTGGATTCATCGATTATGGAGCAGGTCACCTCTGGGTTTGAACTTCAGGTGAGACCTTGATTTGCATTTGGGTTAACGTTTGGTCCACCTTTGCCATCAGTAGTTTGTGTTTTCTGCCCTCCTCTATTCTTGCACTCTATATTTTTTATATATATGTTGCAAAGGTTTGATATGTCCCCGCAATATTTTTGTATTTTTATGTGATTGGTTATGGCTGTGTATCTATTCTTATGGCAGCTGATGACCCAACCACCTACCTCCCTGCATTTGCAGGTGGAAACAATTATTTTAATTATAGAAGGTGAGTGGTATTATTGGTCTGCTATATATTTGGGTCTTTAGTTTGTTGTAATCAGGCTGTGAATAAGGTCTTTTCTGGCCTGAAACACATTAATGTGGGTCGTGCTAAGGAACATTTTACTCCTCGTTTTCAATTAAAAAAAGATTTTACTTTTCACCTTGTTGCCGACATTCGTTCACAATTATCTTTTGGGAAGCAGATGGAGACTGCTAGTTTGGCATGGTGAAGCATCATACCACAGCCTTGGAGAGAGTAACCTCACCTGTGTGGATAGTCTGCATGGAATCTACCAAATCTGGCATTACCTGTCTTCACTAGGGAGACTGGCATCTGTGAACATCAAAGATGTTTATCTATATATCCCTATTGTTACAACACCTAAGCCAAATCTATGCTTTGCTGTGGTGCCCCTACAGTACCAGTTCATGGCTCTGCCCTTCAGCCACTTGTCTGCACCTCAAATATTCACTAAGGTGCTGACCCTGGTGTATTCTTATGGCATCTTCATTGTGGGATACTTAGACCAAGCTTCTGAAATTATTTATGGAACTCATTGTTTGCAGTATCTGGGTCTAGCCCAGAACAAAGTTCAAGACAGAGTGTCCATCTACAGAGAAAACCTTAAGACACTTTTTGGTCTCAGTTTCAAATTATCCAGAACAGTAACTGTCTAACTCTCCGCTTTTGAAGGAGAGTCCTAAGTCTAATGGTAGCCTCTTTTGAGGCAGTTCCTTTGGCTCAGCTTCACTTCAGACTTTTGCAACGCAACTACCTGTCATCGTGAGACAAGTTGATCCACTCTCTCAACAGACTGATTCATCTATCACCAGGGGCCAGGGTCTGCCTGACCTGGTTGTTCAGGAATCTGGCTCTGGAATCGGAGAAATCCTTCCTTCCCATCTTTTAAAAGTACCCTTATGATGGATTCTAGCCTGTCAGGCTGAGGAGTCCTGACCACTCTGTCGGTGCAGGGGTCATCGAGGGAGTCTAGCCTCCAGAATCGCATCCTGTAGCTTTGAGCTGTTTGGCTGTCTGTGCAGATATTGACCAATCTTACTGGAGGGTCATCAGGTTTCTACCCTTTCTATTCTGTTCCAGAGATCATTAGCCTGTCACTTTTTTATTAAGGCCTTTGTACCGGGGGTTCCCAATGTAGCTTCTCCTGTCCATTACCCTGTGACTCCATGGAATCTGAGTCCAATTCTCTCTGCAATTCAGAAACCACTGTTTGAGCCCATTTGAGACATTCCTCTCTCTACTGTTGCCAATTTAGTAATTGCCAATGTAGTAATGACTACAAATGCCTTATCCTTTAACTTCCCTAGCGGTATTCCCGAGTGTACCTCGGGGTAAAGTTTCAGTACCAAAAGCGGTAACCCCGAGCTGCACTTGGGCTTACCATGCGGCGTTGCTCAGGGATTCCCTGCAGCGATTACCTTGTCCTCCGCTCCCGCGATGCGACCCCTGCCGCGTCCCCGGCCATCTCCTCCAGCCGATGCTGGCATCTGGCTTCTGTGTTCCTGTCCCTGCGAGCGTCGGGACGTACGGAGGCCGTAATGGCGGCAAATTTAAAAATTTTTTTAGAAACTGTCATTTTCTTAGAAATGAATTTGACATAGTAAAACATTACTGTATCAAACCATTTCACATACATTTTGTCCCTACTGCTTTGTCCTGTGCCCTGCCTGCATTTTGACTGTTCTTTCTGCCTGGAAACTTAGAAGAGTCCATGGCGTCCAAAAAACATCCCTTTTTGGTCAAAAGTGGTTTTAGACTAAAGAACAGCGATAGTAAATCAGAACCACTTGCAGAATTGAGTGATAATGATTTGTGGGGATTTTGCGACTTTGCTCAGCGATGTGCGAACTTGGCGCTATATTTCAAATTTCAGTGTTTTTGGTGTGCTTATATTATTGATTTTAAATTTATTATTATATTATTTTTATGATTATTTATTAAATTATTTATGATTTTGTGTTTCAAGTTTTATCACACCCAGAATGTTTACTAGACTCTTGTTCGGACAGATTTCCGTGAGCTATTCCTAAAAATTACAGGCCTACAATAAAAAAATACACATTTCCATGCAAAAAAATGTACCGCTTTTCAGCACAGAAATATGGACATAATCATACCGCTAGGGAGGTTAACCAGGACCTCATTCTTTCTTCCCTCTCTGTGGCTTCAGTTCACCAAAATAGTCTATCTTTTTAGCCATTACTTCTTTCAGGAAAACTAATTCCCTTTCTGTCATCATAGATGGATCCCGTAAGGGTGCACCACTTTCTCATTCCACCATCTTTAGGTTGCTCAGGTCAACCAATGCCCAAGCTTATGGTCTCAAGAATCGAGTTCCAGCCTTTTCTGTTAAGGTGAAATCTATTAGATCTGTGTGTGCTTCTTGTATTTTTCAGTATTGAGCAAACTATTTCACGGATTTGCAAGGCTGGTCTAGTATCCACACATTCTCCTATGTTCTACAGGGGTGTGGAAATTTTTGAAAAAACTGCTTGTCCTTCATGACTAAATCCTTGTCCCAATCTACTTGTCCTTCATGACAATCTGCTTGTCCAGCTACTCCTCCCCTCCCTCTCTGTCTCCAGCAACACACCTGGGGACTAACAGGGAGGAGAGCGACCTTGCAGTGTAATGAGCACTGATTGGGTGCTTGTCAGGGAAGGGGAGTGTCGGACTTATCCTTTGTCCCTTTCGCTGCCCGAGTCATTTTTGCGGTTTTTTGCATGTTTTTAAAAAAAATCACTTAAGGCCTGAAGATTACATAAAAACCCCGAACATTATATATGTTCTGAAAACAGAGACCCTAGAGAATAAAATAGTTAAATTTAGGGCACAAAAAAAATACAAGTAAGTTAATTTTAGGGCACAAAAAAAAGCAATAAATTAGAATATTTTTGTAAAATATAAAAGATGAGGTTGCGAGTAAATAGATATCCAACATGTCGAACCTTAAATTTGCGTGCACTCATGAAATGGCGATGACCTTCAGTACCCTATATTTTCAATAGGCAACACTTTTAAAGCCCCTTATAGATCATCAGTATAGTGTTATGGAAGAGTTCTTGTGCTAGAATTATTGCTCTCATCCTAGCATGCGTGATAATATGTAACACGTATGTATCGCAATCGACATTTTAATGCTTTACTCTTTTTTTTTTTTTTTTTTCCCCTATGTGATGATTTTTGGTGACAGGTTCTTTTTGAGACATCCAGGGTCTTTTAGACTCTTTAGTCTTTTAGTTTCCCCTTTACTCCCCTGAATGTAATGCAGTGCAAGAAGGGGAGCAGTCGTGTCTGCTCTCCTCTCTCCCCTCTAGCTGATGGCAGTGAGCCAGGCCTCGTGGAGGGAAGTTCACACGGGGGGAGAGGCTGGCATTGTGTGGAAGCAATCGGCAGCAGCGCTGCCACCTGAATGCTTCCACCTTGACAGGTGAGCCCTGCTGCTTGCCCGCAGCAGGGCTGAAGGTTAAAGAAAAAAACTACCTGCCCATCGCCAAGAACTGCAAGTCCTGGGCGTTGAGTGATATAAATTCAACATCCCTGGTTCTCCCACGTGTATGTTTTCATCTGATGCCAGCTTCAGGCATAGGTTCCCTTAGGCTACTCTTTTCAGGCAGTTCCTAGTTCTCTGGTGTTTTTCCTGGTCTGATTTTTTGCTGTGTTGCCCACCCCTCTCTTGAGCCTCTTATTGAGTTTCCAAAGGTAAAGGATTTTTTGTGCTCCTCATTGAATAAGAATAAAAATAGTTTTTTTTTTGCACTCACCATAAAAAAAATTTTTTTGAGGGACATGGGTATCACCCATCTTTGTTCATGATCATCTTCTCGGTAGTGCTCTGCTACTTAATTGAGTTAGTAGCATTAGGGTCTGGCCTACAGTTTTTTGGTTTGCAGGTGTCCAAATAAAAAGATTTTCTGTGGCCATCAGTGGACTCCTGGAAAAAGGTTTTATGGTAAGTATAAAAATCCTATTTTCCTTTACCATAAACAACCTCTAGTCTTCATGTCAGGCCAAGTGATGCTGCATGGGCAGCCTTCTTGCACATATTATATTATCATGTTATATTTTAATCCAGTGGTGAAATAAACATTCTTCTCAAAAGTAGTCTGCAGCTTTGTTTTAGATGTACAATACCCCTAGTTCTTAGCACTCATAAAGCTGTAATAATTTTGTTAGAAAAGCCTTTTGTCGCCAAGACTAGTAACAGCTTGCTTCACAGTTCTGAACACTGCAGAAGTCTGATTCCTAAATATTGTTTTTGTCAGTTGTCACAGCAATTAGATGGCCTGCTGGGGATGCTGTGTGTTGATGTGGCCCCTACAGATGGAGCAGCAATTCAACAAACATTAAAACTGCTTGAGGAGAAGCTGAAAAGTGTTGGTAAGGAGCAGACACATTCTTATGTGCTTTTATTACAATGCAAGTATAGATTTAAGGAAACCTTTAAAATATAAATTGGTTTTATTTCTTAAAGGAAACATACTGAATAAAATATGGTGCTTGCCATTACTAACCTGTCTTTCAAAACAATGTTAGTTGCATTTCAGTCATGCTGTTCCAGTGTATTCAGTGTTCTCTGACTTACTAGACCATAGTAAAATGAAAATGAGAATTTTTGACTTTACAGAAATGTTTGTTACCACACTTGTTGTAGGTTGGTGACACAAGGTCCTTTCTTATAGGGCTTTACAAAGTTGGTAAAATCTGGACAAATTAGGTCAGGCTTAAAAGAATCAGGTAGCGTATGTACTCTCCAGCGCCTCAGGATATGCACAGCCAAAAGGGAAGCCAAGGGTACCAGGACAGCGACAACCAAAAGGAAATGTTCCAGGGGTGCAGCCCTCCTCAGACGGGGAAATCAGCCACTGGATTTTCCCCCCAGAGAGAAAAACAGGTGGCGCACACACCTAGTGCATTATCCAAGGTTTATTGTAGGAATTAAATCATAAAAACATACTCACAGACGAAGCATGTATCTAAAAAGCATAGAAAAATGACAATGGCCACAACGGCAGGCAAGGTGTTCTCACTGTCAGTGCGGTCAAATGGCTGACGCATTTCGGGGACGAATCCCTTTCCTCAGAGCTGATGACCAACCTCTGATGCTGATGCACGATGAATGGAAAGTAAAGTGAGAGCCCTGCTGTTGATGCCTCCAACAGAGGGCTCTCACTTTACTTTCCATTCATCGTGCATCAGCATCAGAGGTTGGTCATCAGCTCTGAGGAAAGGGATTCGTCCCCGAAACGCGTCAGGCATTTGACCGCACACAGTGAGAACACCTTGCCTGCCGTTGTGGCCATTGTCATTTTTCTATGCTTTTTAGATACATGCTTCGTCTGTGAGTATGTTTTTATGATTTAATTCCTACAATAAACCTTGGATAATGCACTAGGTGTGTGCGCCACCTGTTTTTCTCTCTTAAAAGAATCAGGCCAGGGTTTCAAACCAAACACCACTGAAAATTACTTATTCAATTCTGGAACGTCTGAAAATGAATAATTTGTTCTTTAGATTATTTAATATCCCTATGTATTGGCGATGTGATCTCCCAGAACCTCACAGTAGCTGTGAAAGGGCCCTTTCTCTACGTTTTAGGCAGACAACACCACCAAAAGCAAAAATTCACCACTTGCTTGAAAGACTCCTAATAAAGGATATTTGTCATGTTTGTAGCTGACTATATATGGCCTTGATTGTCTCAAGTTATACACTTAAAATGGAACTAATCTTATGGACTTAACAGTTTCCCAAAAGAGTTAACATTCAGGTCATGCCACGAATGATATCTGTCACAGTTGCTTGGTCTCTCAATTGAACTGTCAAGCCATCAAATGGCTGGTGTTATAACATGTTGCAGCACCATGACAACTGCAGATCAAACAGAGGCTAAGGTGGCAGCTTCCATGGCTGTAAAGGAAAGAAGACTGTATTTCCACTTTAATAGATTCCTAACATATCAGTAGTTCTCAGTTACCAGTTTGGAAGCAGTTTTTCTTTACTTGGATATGGAGCCTCGCATAGAGAGCTACAAGCTGACTAAAACCACACAAGACTGTCTGTTGTTTCAAAAGGTATTTTAAAATTGTTTTTAGCCTATTCTGAGAAAGTTTTTGATTTTTTTTTTCTTTTTTAGAAACTGGTCTTCAAGGCCTACGTGAGAAAGGTCAGAGTCTACTTGATCAAATTTCAAATCAAGCTTCTTGGGCCTATGGGAAGGATGTCTCCGGTGAAAACAAGGAAAATGTAGATCATATTCAGGGAGTAATGGAGGACATGCAGATGAGGAAGCAGAGGTGAGATTATCCACCTTATTACATGAAATTCAGGCAATGTTTAATATATACGGCAGTATCTAATGTTTAATTGTAACTGTATGAATTTTAAAAAAAGATTAGTCCAAGCAAAATTGAAATCTTCTGTGCCAAGCAGAATCAACTTGCATTTCAGGGGTTTTAAAGGTGAAATCTTCCCAGTGGAGTTCTTAGCTGTTCACCCATCCATCTTTTCACCACAGTGGTTTGTGTCTTATTCTTCATCTGAAATACTAAGAAAAGTAATTGGGAAAAAAAAAACCAGGAAGAAAACACGCTCATATTGGTCTCAAACACAGCATTTAGAGATGACACTAGAATATTTATGTCAGTGAAGCATGAACTATTGCCCATTCTGTGGGGAGGAGTGTCATTTCATACACTTTTTCTTGGTATTTAAAATGACAGTTTGGATTTCTGCAGCGGCCACAGAAGAGTGCCAAGGGGTGTAACAATTAGTAAATCAGCTTTAAAACAATTCCTCACTGACCTCTAGCTGCAGGTACTGTAGAACAATTCATCCTGATATTTTACAGTGGGCATATTGAAGTCCTTCTCAGTAGCTCAGCTCACCCTGCACCCTTCTCTCCGAGAGCACATGTTCTGTGTCTATAAAATACTCCACATAACCATTACAACTTGACTGTGCAATCTGACTTTGTAATATTTTACCAAAGATATGTGATGTCAAAACCTTCCTAAGCTAACCAATCATTCTGTATCCAGCCAGGCTGACCCTTGCCCTACAAAATTGTTGGTTGAGCTAAAGGAGATTGTATAGTCAGAATGTAACATGTCCAGGGTGAGCTTTAAAGATTTAAAGGCAGCTGCATTGCCACTGAGAGGGGGGAACAGTGTGAGCTGAATAGAGAATAACTTGACTGACTTCAGTGCCTTTACTGGGAACTTTGAGGATGAATTGCTCCACGGTTCCTTCAGCTACACAGGTCATTCAAGCCTTGTATTAAAAACCATTCACTGCTTGTTAAGGATACATAAATACTTGAATGTCTGTAGCCTGGCCAAATGTTCACTTTAATGTGAAAGAGATTGCTAGGCATGGTGCATATGTCGAGCATCAGGTAACATTTTACATACTGTATGCTGGATAGTCTGTCAGCTGCTGTAGTGAAGGTGTACAGTACTGTTCACATTAATGTTGAGTCATCATACACCATCATGCGTCAGGGTCTTGCAGCAGCCTTACATATTTAATGTCTGAATTAGTGCACGTGTTTCACTTCTTTTTCAGTCATTTTAAGAAACATGGTGTTCACCTTTGAATGTCTGGAATCTTTTCACATATTATTTCTTGTCCAGTTCAAGGAGCACTTTGTTTCATGTGAGAAGCTGATGCCTATTTTTTTTAATCTTGTGCAGACTGCACCTTTCATGTGAGGCAGCAAATAAATATTAAAATTTGATTGACACATTAAAATAAAAAAAAGATCTGTTAGAAAAGTTTTAAGAGAATTTTTCCAACCTTCAAGGTGAAGGTCTGACTAGATTATGCGATTTCCATCATTGTCGTCATACTGTGCAAAATCCTTTGTGATTTGATCAAGAGTGATTCAGCCTTCAGCACATTTATCAAGATTAAACCTGCTGATTTTCTTGCCAGCTCTCAGCGCTGCCACAGTCTAGACAAATTCTAAGTAGGTCTGCATGCTATCTCTGTCACTGTAGTGTTTATAGACATCATGCATATTTATGCAAAGGTACTGTTACCACATCATTAAGCGACTCTATGCAAAAACAGTTCACGCGTTGCATTCATGTCCACCAAATTGAATAATAGTGCACTTCTACATACCTTGAATCTTTTTTTCTGGTAGGACCATTAGTTCCTATGCCTTTTCATTATGTGTGTGTCTTGGCACAATGTCCTCTTGCACATTATAAAAACGGACAGGGCTTTGCGGTTAGAGATGAAACTTCTCCATTTGTATGAAAAGTTTCCTAGATGTGACTAAATATCTGTACGGCAGGGTGGTGATACTCCACTAGCTAAGACATCAAAGAAAGTTTGTGTAAATCAGGGTGCCATGTTCTGAGTAATAAGGTTCAGATCATAGGACCCAGCACATACTGTGTATACATTAGGGCAGCCTAGGGGCTTGTGGTCATGGACTTGGATCTAAAACTTCTTTTCTTTCCCTCCATAAGTGGGAATGCAAAAGAAACTCAAAGCAACATTATTCAACTCAAAATGGCTTCAAGCAACTGGAAGGCCCATCAAAACAAGTTAAAGTTTTTCAGGTGCACCTTGAATGTATTGTGCAGTTGACTCACTTCTGAGTTTGAAGTCCCACCTGCACAAGCTTCCCATACATAGGCAGATGATCCAACTAGAATTTTTTTCCCCCATGCTGCAACAGACTTGCCCATCTTGATGGATGGCAAAATATGACTGAAAAAAACTAATCTGAGTGGAACCTGCCCAAACAGTTTTGGGTCAGAGAGAAAGAGCAATAATTTGAGAATCTGCATATAGTCAACAATGCTGCCACAATTTTCAGTACCTGAACATATATCTTTCAGTCTCGAAAAGATGACAGTGGCCCTCAGATGGGCTGATTAGTAACAGGGATTAATATGACTTCAGTCTGTGGATCTATGGAACTTTCAAATAAGGTATTCCTTCCTGATTGGTCAACCACAGATTTAATAATATAGATACATATACAGTGGATATAAAAACTCTACACACCCCTGTTAAAATGTCAGGTTTCTGTGATGTAAAAAAAATGAGACAAAGATAAATCATTTCAGAACTTTTTCCACCTTTAATGTGACCTATAAACTGTACAACTCAATTGAAAAACAAACCTGAAATCTTTTAAGAGGGGTTGAGGAGTAAACATAGAAAAACTAAATTAATGTGGTTGCATAAGTGTGCACGCCCTCTTATAACTGGATATGTAGCTGTGTTCAGAATTAAGCAATCACATTCAAAATCATGTTAAATAGGAGTCAGTACACACCTGCCATCATTTAAAGTGCCTCCGATTAACCTGGCAAAAGCCATGGTCTGCAGAGAGCTTCCAAAGCATCCGAGGGATCTCATTGTTAAAATATCAGTCAGGAGAAGGGTACAAAAGAATTTCCAAGGCATTAGGTATACCATGGAACACAGTGAAGACAGTCATCATCAAGTGGAGAAAATATGGCGCAACAATGACATTACCAAGAACTGGACGTCCCTCCAAAATTGATGAAAAGATGAGAAGGAAAATGGTCTTGGAGGCTGCCAAGAAGCCTACAGGAACATTAAAGGAGCTGCAGGAATATCTGGCAAGTACTGGCTGTGTGGTACATGTAACAACAGTCTCCCATATCCTTCATATGTCTGGGCTATGGAGTAGAGTGGCAAGATGGAAGCCTTTTCTTACAAAGAAAAATATCCAGGCCCGGCTAAATTTTGCAAAAACTCATCTGAAGCCTCCCAAAATCATGTGGGAAAATGTGTTAAGGTCTGATGAAACCAAGGTTGAACTTTTTGGCCATAATTCCAAAAGATATGTTTGGCACAAAAACAACACTGCTCATCACCAAAAGAACACCATACCCACAGTGAAGCATGGTGGTGGCAGCATCATGCTTTAGGGCTATTTTTCTTCAGCTGGAACCAGGGCCTTAGTCAAGTTAGAGGGAATTATGAACAGTTCCAAATACCAGTCAATATTGGCACAAAACCTTCAGGCTTCAGCTAGAAAGCTGAACATGAAGAGGAAATTCATCTTTCAGCATGGCAATGACCCAAAGCATACATCCAAATCAACAAAGGAATGGCTTCACCAGAAGAAGATTAATGTTTTGCACTGGCCCAGCCAGAACCCATACCTGAATCCGATCGAAAATCTGTGGGGTGATTTGAAGAGGGCTGTGCACAAGAGGTGCCCTCGCAATCTGACAGATATGGAGTGCTTTTGCAAGGAAGAGTGGGCAAATATTGCCAAGTCAAGATGTGCCATGCTGATAGACTCATACCCAAAAAGACTGAGTGCTGGAATGAAATCAAAAGGTTCTTCAACAAAGTATTAGTTTAAGGGTGTGCACACATATGTAACCATATTATTTTAGTTTTTTTATTTTTACTTCCCTTCACCTAAACGATTTCAGTTTGTTGTTCAACTGAGTTTTACAGTTTATAGGTCACATTAAAGGTGTAAAAAGTTCTGTAATTATTTATATTTGTCTCATTTTTTTACATCACAGAAACCTGACATTTTAACAGGGGTGTGTAGACTTTTTATATCCACTGTACATACAGAGGCCACTTCAGTGGGTGTAGATGCATTCATGTTGTGCACTGCAAATTCTGATCCTGCATGAAAAACTCAGTTCTTCAGACCAGGCAACTATAGTGTATTTTTCCAGTTCTTTGCTGACAAGAGTCAAATATTACTTGTACCTCTTTTCAATATGCTTTATTCAGTGGCAATGCAGTGAAATAAAGTGGCTAGTGAATGTATACCCATATCTGAAAGATCCACTCAGTCTTTGAGTTAATAAAATTTTCCTTTTACCATTTCTTTCCTGTTTTATATTTGTTTCTGTTATTCTTAATAATGGAACTTAAAGTGGAGTTCCACTCATGCTGTTAAAAAATAACAGCAGCTACAAAAACTGCAGCTGCTGACTTTAAAAAACAGCCATTCACCTGTCCTATGATCCCGCGGTGTCCTCCCCACAGCTCATTTCACTGGCCATCTTGTGTTCCAGGTGCCGGCATCTTCATTGTGCTCACCCGGCTGTGACCGCTTGTGGCTTCACAGCCGGGTGCCACTGTGCATGCGCTTCCTGAATGGGCTCGTAGTCTTATGTCACATGTCCCAGAAGACTACGGGGAGGGAAGGTAGAAGGACAACTTCTGCTTCTGATCGCTTTGGTGATCGCAGCAGAAGTGGGAGCAGGTACCTGTCAATTTTGGGTATCTGCTGTCCAAAGGTGCCAATCCTTAATGCGGAGCGGGGGACCAG